GATCACTGCTACTACAGATGTTCCAACAACAACAAGGACTGCCGGTGTCACTTCTACTACAGTTGTTCCAACAACAACAAGTACTGTTGGTGTCACTACAACTACTGATGTTCTAACAACAACAAGTACTGCCGGGATCACTGCTACTACAAATGTTCCAACAACAACAAGGACTGCCGGTGTCACTACTACTACAGATGTTCCACCAACAACAAGTACTGTTGGTGTCACTACTACTACAGATGTTCCAACAACAACAAGTACTACCGGTGTCACTACTACTACAATAGATGTTCCAACAACAACAAGTACTGCCGGTGTCACTACAACTACTACTGATGTTCCGACCACAACAAGTACTGCCGGTGTCACTACTACTACAGATGTTCCAACAACAACAAGTACTGCCGGTGTCACTACTACTACAGATGTTCAAACAACAACAACTACGGCCGGTGTCACTACTACTATAGATGTTCCAACAACAACAAGTACTACCGGTGTCACTACTACTACTGATGTTCCAACAACATCAAGTACTGCCGGTGTCACTACTACTACTACTGATGTTCCGACCACAACAAGTACTGCCTTTGTCACTACTACTACTGATGTTCCAACAACAACAAGTACTGCCGGTGTCACTACTACTACTGCTGTTCCAACAACCACAAGTACTGCCGGTGTCACTATTACTACTACTTATGATGTTTCAACAACAACAAGTACTGCCGGTGTCACTACTACTACTGATGTTCCAACAACATCGAGTACAGCGGGTGTCACAACTACTACTACTAATGATGTTTCAACAACCACAAGTACAGCGGGTGTCACTACTACTTCTACTACTACCGATGTTTCAACAACAACAAGTACCGCCGGTGTCACTACTACTACTGCTGTTCCATCAACCACAAGTACTGCCGGTGTCACTTCTAATACTGATGTTCCAACAACAACAAGTACTGCTGGAGTCACTACTATTACAGATGTTCCAACAACAAGTACTGCCGGAGTCAATACTACTACAGATGTTCCAACAACAAGTACTGCCGGTGTCACTACTACTACTACGGATGTTCCAACCACAACAAGTACTGCCGGTGTCACTACTACTACTGATGTTCCAACAACAGCAAGTACTGCCGGTCTCACTACTACTACTGATGTTCCAACAACCACAAGTACTGCTGGTGTCACTATTACTACTACTTATGATGTTTCATCAACAACAAGTACTGCCGGTGTCACTACTACTACTGATGTTCCACCAACAACGAGTACAGCGGGTGTCACAACTACTACTACTAATGATGTTTCAACAACGACAAGTACAGCGGGTGTCACTACTACTTCTACTACTACCGATGTTTCAACAACAACAAGTACTGCCGGTGTCACTACTACTACTGATGTTCCAACAACAACGAGTACTGCCGGTGTCACTTCTAATACTGATGTTCGAACAACAAGTACTGCCGGAGTCACTACTACTACAGATGTTCCAACAACAAGTACTGCCGGAGTCAATACTACTACAGATGTTCCAACAGCAACAAGTACTGCTGGGGTCACCAGTACGACAGCTGTTCCAACAACCACAACTACTGCCGGTGTCACTACTACTACAGATGTTCCAACAACCACAACTACTGCCGGTGTCACTACTACTACTGATGTTCCAACAACCACAACTACGGCCGGTGTCACTACTACTACTACTGTTCCAACAACAACAACAAGTACTGCTGGTGTCACCACTACTACAGATGTTCCAACAACAGCAAGTACTGCCGGTGTCACTACTACTGCTACAGATGTTCCAACCACAACAAATACTGCCGGTGTCACTACTACTACTGATGTTCCAACAACCACAAGTAATGCCGGAGTCACTACTAGTACTGTAGGTGTCACTACTACTGCTACAGATGTTCCAACCACAACAAGTACTGCCGGTGTCACTACTACTACTGATGTTCCAACAACAACAAGTACTGCCGGTGTCACTACTACTAGAGATGTTCCTACTACCACTACTACGGCCGGGGTCACTACTACTACTGATGTTCCAACAACCACTACTACTACAGATGTTCCAACAACAACAAGTACTGCCGGTGTCACTACTACTACAGATGTTCCTACTACCACTACTACGGCCGGTGTCACTACTACTACTGATGTTCCAACAACCACAAGTAATGCCGGAGTCACTACTACTACTGATGTTCCAACAACATCAAGTGCTGCCGGTGTCACTACTACTCCAGATGTTCCAACAACAACAAGTACTGCCGGGGTCACTACTACTACAGATGTTCCTACTACCACTACTACGGCCGGTGTCACTACTACTAATGATGTTCCAACAACCACAAGTACTGCCGGTGTCACTACTACTACTAGTGATGTTCCAACAACAACAAGTACTGCCGGGGTCACTTCTAATACTGATGTTCCAACAACAAGTACTGCCGGAGTCACTTCTATACTGTTGGTGTCACTACTACTACTGATGTTCCAGCAACCACAAGTACTGCCGGTGTCACTATTACTACAGATGTACCAACGACCACTTCTACGGACAGTTTCACGACTACTACTACTGATGTTCAAACAACAAGTACTATCGGTGTCACTACTACTACTACTGATGTTCAAACAACAAGTACTACCGGTGTCACTACTCTACTTATGATGTTTCAACAACAACAAGTACTGCCGGTGCAAGTACTGCCGGTGTCACTACTACTACTAGTGATGTTCCAACAACAACAAGTACTGCCGGAGTCACTTCTACTACAGATGTGCCAACAACAACAATTACTGCCGGAGTCACTACTACTACAGATGTTCCAACAAAAACAAGTACTGCCGGTGTCACTTCTAATACTGATGTTCCAACAACAAGTACTGCCGGAGTCACTTCTACTACAGATGTTCCAACAACAACAATTACTGCCGGAGTCACTACTACTACAGATGTTCCAACAACAACAAGTACTGCTGGTGTCACCACTACTATAGATGTTCCAACAACCACAACTACTGCCGGTGTCATTACTACTACAGATGTTCCAACAACAACAAGTACTGCTGGTGTCACCACTACTACTGATGTTCCAACAACCACAACTACGGTCGGTGTCACTACTACTACTGATGTTCCAACAACAACAAGTACTGCCGGTGTCACTACTACTACTGATGTTCCAACAACAACAAGTACTGCCGGTATCACAAGTACTTCTGATGTTCCAACAACCACACGTAATGTTGGTGTCACTACTACTACAGATGTTCCAACAACAACCAGTACTGCCGGTGTCAATACTGCTACTGATGTTCCAACAACAACAAGTACTGCCGGTGTCACTACTACTACTGATGTTCCAACAACCACAAGTAATGCCGGTGTCACTACTACTACTACAGATGTTCCAATCACAACAAGTACTGCCGGTGTCAATACTACTACTGATGTTCCAACAACAACAAGTACTACCGGTGTCACTACTACTACAGATGTTCCAACAACAATCACTGCCGGTGTCACTACTACTACAGATGTTCCAACAACAACAAGTACTGCCGGTGTCACCACTACTAATGATGTTCCAACAACAACAAGTACTACCGGTGTCACTACTACTACAGATGTTCCAACAACAATCACTGCCGGTGTCACTACTACTACAGACGTTCCTACGACCACTACTACGGCCGGTGTCACTACTACTACTGATGTTCCAACAACAACAAGTACTGCCGGTGTCACTACAACTACAGATGTTCCAACAACCACAACTACTGCCGTTGTCACGTCTAAAACCAATGTTCCAACTACAACAATTACTACCGGTGTCGCCACTACTACAGATGTTTCATCAACAACTACTGCCGGTGTCACCACTCCTACAGTTTTACAAACAACAAGTAATGACATTTCAATTACAAAGTAATTGCTCAAGCTCAGAAATCGTCACATTTTTGTCCACTGATGATTGTGATCGTTTAGTTTAGTTCTCATACATTCTCTTGTACGTTATTATGCTATTTTTCTAGCGACTGTTGTCGTCATAAAGATGTTTGATGTCCCTCTTATGTTTGTTATCGCACGTATTGATATTTCAGCGACAGGTACATGGCCACCAGGGACCACAAGTTCATGGAATACAATAATGTAGCACTGGCAATTTTTAAAGACCCTTTGATTGACATAAATATATCCGAACCTTAAATTACTAAAGAGGAAAATATGCAAGTTTTCCTATCATGATAGGAAATAAATGCTAATTGAAATATTTTTCTTCTTTCTTCCACAAATTTTGTTTACGTCTTAATACCTTTTATGTTTTACCATACGTTGTTGCTTAGTATGTAACATTTTCACGGCGTGCTGTTTTCGGCGTTTCCACTTTTAGATAGTCGGTGTACATTTACTCTGCTACTTCGCAGTTGTATCGTTTAATTCACCTGTATTTATTCAAACTGTCCATCTTTTTTGTTGTTATAGGTTATAAGCAGTAATAAAGCTGCGGCGAATACGTCAAATTTTTGCAAATAAATCATGTGGTGTTTATAAAAAAAATCTAAGAACATATATATTAGTTGTTAAGTTTTCAAAAATGTTCAATTAATTAGGTAGTACAGCTTGTTTTGTTTTATCTATCAATTTTTTATTTTTTTATTTTTTATTTTATCTTCATTTATTTATTATTTAGTTAATTTGCATCTCTTTTTTAACGTCGTAATGTTTTAAGCGAAAACGTCCATACAAAAAAAACTTAAATAATTTCAAATTACATATGAATCTTGAAGATAGCATTATTTTAAAACCACTGCTGTTCTTACAGAATCAACAACAATTGGTCCTACAACCACTGCTGGTCCTACAGAATCCACGACAACTGGTCCTACAACCACTGCTGGCCTAACAGAATCCACGACAACTGGTTCTACAACCACTGCTGGCCCAACAGAATCCACGACAACTAGTGCAATAACCACTGCTGGTCCAACAGAATCCACGACAACTGGTCCTACAACCACCACTGGTCCTACAGAATCAACGACAACTGGTCCTACAACCACTGCTGGTCCTACAGAATTAACGACTACTAGTCAAACGACAACTGCTGGTTCTACAGAATCCACCACAACTGGTCCTACAACCACTGTTGGTGTTACAGAATCCACGACAACTGGTCCAACAACCACCGCTGGTCCTACAGAATCAACGACAACTGGTCCTACAACCACCGCTGGTCCTACAGAATCCACGACAACTGGTCCTGCAACCACTGCTGGTCCAACAGATTCAAAGACAACTGGTCCTACAACCACTGTTGGTCTTACGGAATCCACGACAACTGGTTCTACTACCACTGCTGGTCCAACAGAATCCACGACAACTGGTCCTACAACCACTTCTGGCCCAACAGAATCCACGACAACTGGTCTATCAACCACTGCTGGCCCAACAGAATCCACGACAACTGGTCCTTCAACCACTGCTGGTCCAACAGAATCCACGACAACTGGTCCTACAACCACTGTTGGTCTTACAGAATCTACGACAACTGGTCCTACAACCACCGCTGGTCCTAAGGAATCAACGACAACTGGTCCTACAACCACCGCTGGTCCTACAGAATCCACGACAACTGGTCCTGCAACCACTGCTGGTCCAACAGAATCAAAGACAACTGGTCCTAAAACCACTGTTGGTCTTACGGAATCCACGACAACTGGTTCTACTACCACTGCTGGCCCAACAGAATCCACGACAACTGGTCCTACAACCACTGTTGGTCTCACAGAATCCACAACAACTGGTCCTACAACCACCGCTGGTCCTACAGAAACAACGACAACTGGTCCTACAACCACTGCTGGTCCTACAGAATTAACGACTACTAGTCAAACGACAACTGCTGGTTCTACAGATTCCACGACAACTGGTCCTACAACCACTGTTGGTGTTACAAAATCCACGACAACTGGTCCAACAACCACCGCTGGTCCTACAGAATCAACGACAACTGGTCCTACAACCACTTCTGGCCCAACAGAATCCACGACAACTGGTATATCAACCACTGCTGGCTCAACAGAATCCACGACAACTGGTCCTACAACCACTGTTGGTCCTACAGAATCCAAGACAATTGGTTCTACTACCACTGCTGGCCCAACAGAATCCACGACAACTGGTCATACAACCACTGCTGGCCCAACAGAATCCACGACAACTGGTCCAACAACCACTGTTGGTCCTACAGAATCAACGACCACCGGTCTAACAACAACTACTGGTCCTACAACCACTGCTGGCCCAACAGAATCCACGACAACTGGTCCTACAACCCCCGCTGGTCCTACAGAATCAACGACAACTGGTCCTACAACCACTTCTGGCCCAACAGAACAGAATCAACGACCACCGGTCTAACAACAATTCCTGGTCCTACAACCACTGCTGGCCCAACAGAATCCGCGACAACTGGTCCGACAACCACTGCTGGCCCAGCAGAATCCACGACAACTGGTCCTACAACCACTGCTGGTGTTACAGAATCCACGACAACTGGTCCTACAACCACTGTTGGTCCTACAGAATCTACGACAACTGGTCCTACAATCACCGCTGGTCCTACAGAATCAACGACAACTGGTACTACAACCACCGCAGGTCCTACAGAATCCACGACAACTAGTCCTGCAACCACTGCTGGTCCTACAGAATCAACGACCACCGGTCTAACAACAATTACTGGTCCTACAACCACTGCTGGCCCAACAGAATCCACGACAACTGGTCCTACAACCACTGCTGGCCCAACAGAATCCACAACAACTGGTCCTACAACCACTGCTGGTCTTACAGAGTTCACGACAACTGGTCCTACAACCACCGCTGGTCCTACAGAATCAACGACAACTGGTCCTACAACCACTGCTGGTCCTACAGAATCAACGACCACCCGTCTAACAACAACTACTGGTCCTACAACCACTGCTGGCCTTACAGAATCCACGACAACTGGTCCTACATCCACTGCTGGCCCAACAGAATCCACGCCAACTGGTCCTACAACCACTGTTGGCCCTACAGAATCCACGACAACTGGTCCTGCAACCACTGCTGGTCCTACAGAATCAACGACCACCGGTCTAACAACAATCACTGGTCCTACAACCACTGCTGGCCAAACAGAATCCACGACAACTGGTCCTACAACCACTGTTGGTCTTGCAGAATCCACAACAACTAGTCCTACAACCACCGCTGGTCCTACAGAATCCACGACAACTGGTCCTACAACCACTGTTGGTCTCACAGAATCCACAACAACTGGTCCTACAACCACCGCTGGTCCTACAGAATCAACGACAACTGGTCCTACAACCACTGCTGGTCCTACAGAATCAACGACTACTAGTCAAACGACAACTTTTGTTCCTAGAGAATCCACGACAACTGGTCCTACAACCACTGTTGGTGTTACAGAATCCACGACAACTGGTCCTACAACCACCGCTGGTCCTACAGAATCCACGACAAATGGTCCTACAACCACTGTTGGTCTTACAGAATCCCCGACAACGGGTCCTACAACCACTGTTGGTCTTACAGAATCCCCGACAACGGGTCCTACAACCACTGTTGGTCCTACAGAATCTACGACAACTGGTCCTACAATCACCGCTGGCCCTACAGAATCAACGACAACTGGTCCTACAACCACTGCTGGTCTTACAGAATCCACGACAACTGGTCCTGCAACCACTGATGGTCCTACAGAATCCACGACAACTGGTCCAACAACCACCGCTGGTCCTACAGAATCAACAACTGGTCCTACAACCACTTCTGGCCCAACAGAATCCACGACAAATGGACCACCGCTGGTCCTACAGAATCCACGACAACTGGCCCTGCAACCACTGCTGGTCCTACAGAATCCACGCCAACTGGTCCTACAACCACTGTTGGTCTTACAGAATCCCCGACAACGGGTCCTACAACCACTGTTGGTCTTACAGAATCCCCGACAACGGGTCCTACAACCACTGTTGGTCTTACAGAATCCCCGACAACGGGTCCTACAACCACTGTTGGTCCTACAGAATCTACGACAACTGGTCCTACAATCACCGCTGGTCCTACAGAATCAACGACAACTGGTACTACAACCACCGCTGGTCCTACAGAATCAACAACTGGTCCTACAACCACTTCTGGCCCAACAGAATCCACGACAAATGGACCACCGCTGGTCCTACAGAATCCACGACAAATGGTCCTACAACCACTGCTGGTCCAACAAAATCCACGACAATTGGTCTTACCACCACTGTTGGTCTTACAGAATCAACAACAACTGGTCTTACAACCACCGCTGGTTCTACAGAATCAACGACAACTGGTCCTACAACCACTGCTGGTCCAACAAAATCCACGACAACTGGTCCTACAACCACTGTTGGTCCTACAGAATCAACGACTTCTAGTCAAACCACATCTGCTGGCCCAACAGAATCCACGACAACTGGTCCTACAACCACTGCTGGTCTTACAGAGTTCCCGACAACTGGTCCTACAACCACTGTTGGTCCAACAGAATCCACGACAACTGGTCCTACAACCACCGCTGGTCCTACAGAATCCACGACAACTGGTCTTGCAACCACTGCTGGTCCTACAGAATCCACGTCAACTGGTCCTACAACCACTGTTCGCCCAACAGAATCCACGACAACTGGCCCTACAACCACTGTTGGTCCAACAGAATCCACGACAACTGGTCCTACCACCACGGCTGGTCCGACAGAATCAACGACAACTGGTCCTACAATCACTGCTGGTCCTACAGAATCAACGACTACTAGTCAAACCACAACTGCTGGCCCAACAGAATCCACGACAACTGGTCCTACAACCACTGCTGGTCTGACAGAGTTCACGACAACTGGTCCTACAACCACCGCTGGTCCTACAGAATCAACGACAACTAGTCAAACCACAACTGCTGGCCCAACAGATTCCACGACAACTGGTCCTACAACCACGGCTGGGCCGGCAGAATCAACGACAACTGGTCCTACAATCACTGCTGGGCCTACAGAATCAACGACTACTAGTCAAACCACAATTGCTGGCCCAACAGAATCCACGACAACACTGTTGGTGTTACAGAATCCACGACAACTGGTCCTGCAACCACTGTTGGTCCTACAGAATCCACGACAACTGGTCTTGCTGGTCCTACAGAACCAACGACTACTAGTCAAACCACAACTGCTGGACCAACAGAATCCACGACAACTGGTCCTGCAACCCCTGCTGGTCCTACAGAATCCACGTCAACTGGTCCTACAACCACTGTTGGCCCAACAGAATCCACGACAACTGGTACTACAACCACTGTTGTCGTGGATTCTGTAACACCAACAGTGGTTGTAGGACCAGTTGTTGTGGATTCTGTAAGACCAACAGTGGTTGTAGGACCAGTTGTTGTGGATTCTGTTGGGCCAGCAGTGGTTGTCGGACCAGTTGTCGGGGATTCTGTTGGGCCAGCAGTGGTTGTAGGACCAGTTGTCGGTGATTCTGTAGGACCAGCGGTGGTTGTAGTACCAGTTGTCGTAGATTCTGTAGGACCAGCGGTGGTTGTAGTACCAGTTGTCGTTGATTCTGAGATTTCGTGAACTCTGTCAGACCAGCAGTGGTTGTAGCACCAGTTGTCGTGGATTCTGTTGGGCCAGCGGTGGTTGTAGGACCAGTTGTCGTGACCTCTGTCAGACCAGCAGTGGTTGTAGGTCCAGTTGTCGTGGATTCTGTTGGGCCAGCGGTGGTTGTAGGACCAGTTGTCGTGACCTCTGTCAGACCAGCAGTGGTTGTAGGTCCAGTTGTCGTGGATTCTGTTGGGCCAGCAGTTGTGGTTTGACTAGTAGTAGTTGATTCTGTAGGACCAGCAGTGATTGTAGGACCAGCTGTCGTTGATTCTGTCGGACCAGCCGTGGGTGTAGGACCAGTTGTCGTGGATTCTGTTGGACCAACAGTGGTTATTGCACTAGTTGTCGTGGATTCTGTTGGGCCAGCGGTGGTTGTAGGACCAGTTGTCGTGACCTCTGTCAGACCAGCAGTGGTTGTAGGTCCAGTTGTCGTGGATTCTGTTGGGCCAACAGTGGTTGTAGGACCAGTTGACGTGGATTCTGTAGGACCAGCAGGGGTTGCAGGACCAGTTGTCGTGGATTCTGTAACACCAACAGTGGTTGTAGGACCAGTTGTTGTGGATTCTGTAAGACCAACAGTGGTTGTAGGACCATTTGTCGTGGATTCTGTTGGGCCAGAAGTGGTTGTAGGACCACTTCTGGCCCAACAGAATCCACGACAACTGGTCCAACACCCACCGCTGGTCCTACAGAATCAACAACTGGTCCTACAACCACTGCTGGTCCTACAGAATCAACGACTTCTAGTCAAACGAAAACTGCTGGTCCTACAGAATCCACGACAACTGGTCCTACAACCACTGTTGGTGTTACAGAATCCACGACAACTGGTCCTGCAACCACCGCTGGTCCTACAGAATCCACGACAACTGGTCCTACAACCACTGCTGGTCCTACAGAATCCACGACAACTGGTCCTGCAACCACTGCTGGTCCTACAGAATCCACGACAACTGGTCCTACAACCACTGCTGGTCCAACAAAATCCACGACAACTGGTCCTACAACCACTGTTGGTCTTACAGAATCAACAACAACTGGTCTTACAACCACCGCTGGTCCTACAGAATCAACGACAACTGGTCCTACAACCACTGCTGGTCCTACAGAATCAACGACTATTAGTCAAACCACAACTGCTGGTCCTACAGAATCCACGACCACAGGTCCAATAACTACTGCTGGTCCTACAGAATCAACGACTACTAGTCAAACGACAACTGCTGGTCCTACAGAATCCACGACAACTGGTCCTACAACCACTTTTGGCCCAACAGAATCCACGACAACTGGTCCTACAACCACCGCTGGTCCTACAGAATCAACGACAACTGGTCCTACAACCACTTCTGGCCCAACAGAATCCACGACAAATGGTCCTACAACCACTGTTGGTCTTACAGAATCCCCGACAACTGGTCCTACAACCACTGTTGGTCCTACAGAATCCACGACAACTGGTTCTACTACCACTGTTGGCCCAACAGAATCCAAGACAACTGGTCCTACAACCACTGCTGGCCCAACAGAATCCACGACAACTGGTACTACAACCACTGTTGGTCTTACAGAATCCACGACAACTGGTCCTACAAGCACGGCTGGTCCGACAGAATCAACGACAACTGGTCCTACAACCACTGCTGGTCCTACAGAATCAACGACTACTAGTCAAACCACAACTGCTGGTCCTACAGAATCCACAACAACTGGTCCTGCAACCACTGCTGGTCCTACAGAATCCACGACAACTGGTCCTTCAACCACTTCTGGCCCAACAGAATCCACAACAACTGGTCCTGCAACCACTGCTGGTCCTACAGAATCCATGACAACTGGTCCTGCAACCACTGCTGGTCCAACAGAATCCACGACAACTGGTCCTACAACCACTGTTGGTCTTACAGAATCAACAACAACTGGTCTTACAACCACCGCTGGTCCTACAGAATCAACGACAACTGTTCCTACAACCACTGCTGGTCCTACAGAATCAACGACTATTAGTCAAACCACAACTGCTGGTCCTACAGAATCCACGACCACAGGTCCAATAACTACCGCTGGTCCTACAGAATCAACGACTACTAGTCAAACGACAACTGCTGGTCCTACAGAATCCACGACAACTGGTCCTTCAACCACTTCTGGCCCAACAGAATCCACGACAACTGGTCTAACAACCACCGCTGGTCCTACAGAATCCCCGACAACTGGTCCTACAACCACTTCTGGCCCAACAGAATCCACGACAAATGGTCCTACAACCACTGTTGGTCTTACAGAATCCCCGACAACTGGTCCTACAACCACTGTTGGTCCTACAGAATCCACGACAACTGGTTCTACTACCACTGTTGGCCCAACAGAATCCAAGACAACTGGTCCTACAACCACTGCTGGCCCAACAGAATCCACGACAACTGGTCCTACAACCACTGTTGGTCTTACAGAATCCACGACAACTGGTCCTACAACCACGGCTGGTCCGACAGAATCAACGACAACTGGTCCTACAACCACTGCTGGTCCTACAGAATCAACGACTACTAGTCAAACCACAACTGCTGGTCCTACAGAATCCACGACCACGGGTCCAATAACTACTGCTGGTCCTACAGAATCAACGACAACTGGTCCTACAACCACTTCTAGTCCTACAGATTCTACCACTGCCAGTCCTGTTATCACTTCTACTCCTACAGAGTCTACCACTACCAGTTTTGCTACCACTACTACTCCTACAGAGTCTACCACTACTGTTACCACTACTACTCCTACAGAGTCTACCACTACCACTCCTGTTACCACTACTACTCCTACAGAGTCTACCACTACCACTCCTGTTACCATTACTACTCCTGCAGAGTCTACCACTACCAGTTATGTTACCACTACTACTACTCCTACAGAATCTACCACCCCTGCAGGTATGTGTATGTTTAAGTAATAGAATCTTTAAATGATTATATTATTTTTTTATGTATGCGGGGTTTACGGTAAAATGACAAAAAAAAGTTTTCTATTGGAATAATTAACACTTTGTTATAGCCCAATTAAAGAGCCGGGCTTAGTTTGAAAAATAACATATGGCATTGCCAATTCTGAAGTCACGATTACTTTGACGTTTAGTTAGTTTGACGTCGCAATAAGCACCCCTTGTGTCAGTATTATTTGCCTTGAAATGGACTCTGTTCTCGGACGTTTAAAAACAAAAACTACACAGATATTCTTTTCATTACTAGCAGTGTATTGGATATATTTCATATTCCTCTCCTGTGGCATATAACAAAATATTCAACCCTCGTAAAATATCACTGGTATTCATAAAGAGACGAAGGATAGCCCCAATATCTTTTCAATACATACAAGGCAGAACAATCAAGTGTTTCATTACCAGACAAACCATTCGATTGGTCAAAAATATGAAATATAAGTAAAGAGCATATCCTATACTGGGCTAATGACGTCATCAGTAAGAAATATATGATAAATTGTCCAATTTCTTAAAGATTTCTAGAAACAATCTTACAAATGAAAATATGAAAGAAATACTAAAACATGAAAACTTAAAGGTACAAAAACGTTCTAGTACTCCCAGTAAAACATAAACCATTTCATTATTATGAATTAAGCTGTCCCGTTATTACGAGTAAAGCTGTTTCGTTATTACGACTTCAAATATCTTATTGCAACGACAGAAATGTTTCTATCGATTTTAGTTTTACAATTATTGATATTTGTTCACGGCTAAACTCACGGGGTAATCTGACTCGTAATAACGAGACAACTCGTAGTTACGAGATTATCGTGGTTTTTTTTTGTTCTATCGGTGGTATTAACCGGCTTTCGCAAAAAGCCAATAACAGGATCTGAGGGGAATACATAAATGCATGAAATGAATATTTTTTTAATAAATAAATAAATAAATAAATAGGTTATTTTGGGAAGAGAAAGCCAGTGTATCAGTCTTTACTGTTCTCTTCCAATTCAGGAATTTAGTCCATGGGCAACCATGATGGCGGGAACAAGGATAAACTGTTTGTGGCGTAGAAGTCTGATTTTAGCTATATTAAGTTCAGCGGACTATAAATAACTAAGATCATTTCAGGACGTGTATAATGTATGCACATTTACTGGAGGCGGTAAGTTGGTGTATTTGCCTCCTCACGATAGCGCGGATCTCGTAACGGCCACTCATCATTTTTATCTAACTCTCATCAGTTAGTTTTCAAATTGTAAAAAGACACTCAGGTTTAAAACAATTTGAAAATGAACTATTTCGAGTTCGATTAACTTGATAGCCAACCATCACCCGTTGGGGAACCTCTTTGTCTTAACCACTACTACGGGGTGATATTTTAATGTCCTCATCCCCCACAGGGTGATATTGATGTGTGTCAACTACTACGAGGTGATACTTTAATGTCCCCATCATCACAGGTTGATATTGATGTGTGTCAACTACTACGAGGTGATATTTTAATTCCCCCATCACCAACAGGGTGATATTGATGTGTGTCAACTACTACGGGTGATACTTTAATGTAATCATCCCCACAGGGTGATATTGATGTGTCTCAACTACTACGGGGTGATATTGTAATGTCCCCATCTCCACAGGGTGATATTGATGTGTGTCAACTACTACGGGTGGTACTTTAATGTAATCATCCCCACAGGATGATATTAATGTGTGTCAACTACTACGAGGTGATATTTTAATGTCCCCATCTCCACAGGGTGATATTGATGTGTGTCAACTACTACGGGTGATACTTTAATGTAATCATCCCCACAGGGTGATATTAATGTGTGTCAACTACTACGAGGTGATATTTTAATGTCCCACTCTCCACAGGGTGATATTGATGTGTGTCAACTACTACGGGTGATACTTTAATGTAATCATCCCCACAGGGGGATATTGATGTGTGTCAACTACTACGGGTGATACTTTAATGTCATCATCCCCACAGGGTGATATTAATGTGTGTCAACTTCTACGAGGTGATATTTTAATGTCCCACTCTCCACAGGGGGATATTGATGTGTGTCAACTACTACGGGGGATACTTTAATTTAATCATCCCCCCAGGGTGATATTGATGTGTCTCAACTACTACGGGGGGATATTGTAATGTCCCCATCTCCACAGGGTGATGTTTTGATGTGTGTCAACTACTAAGGGTGATACTTTAATGTAATCATCCCCACAGGGTGATATTGTTGTGTCTCAACTACTACGGGGTGATATTGTAATGTCCCCATCTCCACAGGGTGATATTTTGATGTGTGTCAACTACTAAGGGTGATGCTTTAATGTAATCATCCCCACAGGGTGATATTGTTGTGTCTCAACTACTACGGGGTGATATTGTAATGTCCCCATCTCCACAGGGTGATATTTTGATGTGTGTCAACTACTAAGGGTGATACTTTAATGTAATCATCCCCACAGGGTGATATTGATGTGTGTCAACTACTACGAGGTGATATTTTAATGTCCTCATCATCACAGAGTGATATTGATGTGTATCAACTACTACGAGGTGATGTTTTAATTCTCCCATCTCCACAGGGTGATATTGATGTGTGTCAGCTACTACGGGGTGATATTGTGATGTCCCCATCATCACAGGGTGATATTGATGTGTGTCAGCTACTACGGGGTGATATTGTAATGTCCCCATCATCACAGGGTGATATTGATGTGTGTCAACTACTACGAGGTGATATTTTAATTCCCCCATCTTCACAGGGTGATATTGATGTGTGTCAACTACTACGGGGTGATATTTTAATGCCTACATCACTATGTGGTTATTTTAGAACTATAAGCTAGATGTACAACTCTTTTGTTTTATTTTTTTCTAGCCACGTCTGCTGGATTCTTTGCGTTCGGAGTAGAGCAAGGCGATACGTTACTGACTGCAACAGAGACATCATCAGATTTGATAACGCCAGTTGTACCTTTGTCCACAACAAACCAAAACTTCAGAAGCGTTTCAGTAAGTTATAACAGTAACTGTTTCTATACGCTGACATTGAACTATAAACAGGAAAAGAAATTAGGAAGTCTCGTCTTATTTTGAAATATTTACTGTTTATGTAGAGAACCTGGATTTGGTCGTTCAACGGCGACCAGGTAGCTCAATTGATAGGGCATCTGTCTAGAGTTTCCGGACTCGAACCCTGTACCGTTTGTGTATTTTTCGTTTCCTGGTACATTGGTGCCTGTGACCAACCCTTGTTTTAAGCATTGAGTCAACGCTTGACAAGGGGATACCCGGACCTCTGTTGTTAATAGTGTTGTTTGCGGGGGCGAAGACTTGAAGGAGGAGGATCGAATCGGAACTGGAATGGGTCGTTCGTGAGCGACCAAGTTGCTCAACTGGTAGGGGGTCCGTCTATGGGTGGGAGGGTCCAGTGTTCGAATCTCTGTCTGATAATTTATTTTCCTTACCTGCTCCACACATATAAGTGTTTCTTTTGACCTAAAACTGAATTATAACTTTATTGCAGTCTTATAGCGAAATAGATCTATTTATATTTATATGTAATTTCTTCTAACTAAAAATTAACAAATTTGTCTTATTTGGAAAGATTGGGAAAAATGATCATTTATCTCGGTGGACTGTCCAAGGGTTTCCCTTTGGCGTTGATTTGATCATTAATTTTAAAACCAAAGACAATGTTTGCAAAAACATCAACTGAGCCTTATGCTCAGTATGGCAAAATGTGAATGTAAACATTAAAAAGTCCCTACGACCTTGTCATTTCTCACTGTAGTATCCACATAAAACATGTATAACACGTTGTCTTGGGGAAATGCAGTGGCAATGTTTTCATTTGGCAGTTCCATCTGGGCATTGCTTTCAAAATTCCCAGCTAAATTGCGTACTTTTGTCAACAGATTGCGTCTTTAATACATTTTACACCTTCGATTAAAAGGAATTTAAACCCAAACATTGATAAACATTCCTGTAGAAATATAGACTGGTTTCTTGGCTAATCAAAAGAAGGAACAGCCATCAGAACGCGGCAAATCGCTAATGTAATGTTCTTAAAGAAGATTAGGAGAAACCCAACATATCATCACCAAGCACTATTTTATCCTGAATCACTTTACAATTTAATAAGGAATGGTACACTCATGTACATTATCATTGAAACTTACATTAACTCGTATACAGATATTAAAAAAAATATATCAACCAACTCAAGTCAAGGAAACAATGGGGCTATTTTTGAGGTTATTAATAAGCACATCTTTTTAAATCATTAGATCTTTCTTCGAGAAATGAAATTAATTAATTAATTAATTAAACTCTTCCTCTGTTCGAATTAGGATCCAACAAAATAAAAATTTGTTGGTTCGTTTCTAAACATCATCGTTCAAACAAGTAGATATCATTACGTTGTCCGTTAAACAAACATTTAGAGGTTATTATATGACCATTTTAATATATTAGAATATTTATCGCAATGGGGGGTGCATTTATTACGAGAAACTCATTACACGGGTGACCGGAAGTGGTATCTAGGGACTCGGAAGTTATCACACATGCAAAAAGACTGATATTTCGAGTAGACATATGATGATAATAGTTATTACACTAACCTGTTTCTTTCAGATTGGCGTCAATGGTATCATTTCCCTTGAATCAACTTTCTTCTCGGTGAATCCCGAGTTATTTGGTTCGTCATCTTTAAACGTGAACCTCTTTGGACCTTACTGGATGGACGTTGGTCATGAAAGCGACACACGCATCTTTTATCAACTGTATGACAAAAACAATATCCAACCTGGAACTGACCTATCCATCTTCCAGCAGAACGTCAATTTAATTGACCAGACTGTACGCAAATACAAGGCGCATTCGAACTACACGTCAAGATGGTCATTCGTCGCTACGTGGTACAAAGTCTACCCGGAAGTTTCGGCCAATGCAACAAATGAGGTACGATCACGGTGAAAGGTAGTTCCGTCTGTGGTTGCTAGGATAAATATTTCAGACAAAGCTGGTTTCCGCATTTGTATACCATAGTACTGAAATGTAGTTAAATCGAAGTACGATATAATTACTCAGGTTATATACGGTTATGCTGGAACGTGATTTTTTTTTGAAGAACAATAGACTAATTCCATTAAAAAATCCTGATGATTACGTGTATTTGCCCTTTTCCATAAGGGACAACGAATTGCCGTCAAAAAAAAGATTCCATCACTCAGCTCTTATAGTATTATATCAGGACCATATCACGATGTCAGTCACTCCCCGGGTTGTCGTTTCTTACTCTCTTGAATTTTTAGCTTTCAACTATGCTAGTCAGTTTTTGACAGAAGAAGTCTCAGTATATTTCTAAAACGTAAAATCAGAAAAACTTCATACTGAAATTTTGATTTATATTATGTGTCTAGACACTAAAAATACCGATATATAGATGGTGACAAAAGAAACTATTTTAAAGTAATGGATGCCCATAGGTCTTTGATATGGTCAAATAGTTTTATAACTTGTATACATTCCGCCATACAAGCTAACTGTTCGTATGTATTCTAAAAAAAGAGAACGAAAATGTCATGTAGGGCATCAGTTAAGTATAAAAACATTGAAAGTATATTGTATCTTAATTGTTCGACAGATAGTCCCTTCAAGACATCGTAGCGAAGAACCATTCACTGTCAAACTCTGTATGCTAGACTTTTTAAAGTATTAGTAATTGTTTGGTTGAAGTTGTTTAGATGTGCACCGTATTACACTTATTGGGTATGATAGGTGATATGTTGATGGTTGGCAAAAATAATTCTTTAAACCGTAAGGCATGCTGATTCGCTTCCGTTACACATACTGATGAACTTCCGTCACGCATGCGTAACGTATGTTTTGTTTTCCAGCATGTGTCCTTCCAGGCTGTCATCACCACCAATGGAGTCAATTCCTACTATATGACACAGTATTCAAACTTCAGCGTGGCACCAATAATTGGGAGGCGGATATCAATTGGTTACAAGCTCGGAGCTCAGATAGAACAGAATCAAAATTCCTTCCAGGTTTCCGCTACACAGATGGATACATGGCAGGGGAATCAGGGTAAGTGTAAAGCCACATTTTCAACAAAACCCAGGTAATGTTTAAATGTAACGAAATGTTTTGAACCAGAGTTTAGATTCAGTGTAAAGACAACTTAAATGAGGCCTGGGTACAGTTTAAGTGTAACAAAACCCTTTCAATGAGGCCTGGGTACAGTTTAAGCGTAACGAAATCCTTTCAATGAGGCCTGGGTACAGTTTAATTGTTACGAAACCCTTCCAATGAGGCCTGTGTACGGTTTAAGTGTAACGAAACTCTTTCAATGAGGCCATGGTACAGTTAGAGTGTAGCAAAATCCTTTCAAAGAGGCTTGGGTACAGTTTAAGTGTAACGAAACCCTAAATGAGACATGGGTACAGTTTAAGTGTAACGAAACCCTTTCAATGAGGCACGGCTACAGTTTAAGTGTAACGAAACCCTTTCAATGAGGTCTGGGTACAGTTTAAGTGTAACGAAACCCCTTCAATGAGACCTGTGTACAGTTTAATTGTAACGAAACCCTTTCAATGAGGCCTTGGTACAGTTTGATTGTTACGAAATCCTTTCAATCAGGCCTGTGTACAGTTTAAGTGTAACGGAACCCTTTCAATGAGGCCTGGGTACAGTTTAATTGTAACGAAACCGTTTCAATGAGGCCTGGGTACAGTTTAAGTGTAACGAAATCCTTTCAAAAAGACCTGGGTACAGTTTAAGTGTAACGAAACCCTAAATGAGCCATGGGTACAGTTTAAGTGTAACGAAACCGTTTCAATGAGGCCTGGGTACAGTTTAAGTGTAACGAAATCCTTTTAAAAAGACCTGGGTACAGTTTAAGTGTAACGAAACCCTAAATGAGCCATGGGTACAGTTTAAGTGTAACGAAATCCTTTCAATAAGACCTGGGTACAGTTTAAGTGTAACGAAACCCTTTCAATGAGTAATGGGTACAGTTTAATTATAACGCAACCCTTTCATTGAGGCATGGGTACAGTTTAAGTGTAATGAAACCCTTTCAAACAAACCAAGGTACATGTACATATGTTAACGAAACAATTTCAACAAAATCAGGGTACAATTTGAGAGTAAGGAACCTTTTCAACAAGACAAGGCCCATGTGCATGGTAAGAGCAACAAAACTAACAGGAAACAGGGTGGAATGCTACTGTAACGGAAGGGTTGCGAGTCTAAAGGTATGGAGGCTAAGTAAGTGTGCCTAAATCTTTTCAGAAAAGCCAATGTACAGTGTGGTGTGTATGTAAGTATAAGCAGACAATCAAAGTAAATTTGTAAGTGTTTAGAGGCACAGTCAGGTTAGAGGCTACATTCGACCAAAACGCAAAAAAACACAATTTGTTCGTTAACACTACTCAAATGGTTATAACTCTCGTTTCAGATCTTCCTGCATTCTACTTTTACGAGTTAACGCCCTCTGACGCACAGGGTACCACGCCCCTTTTGGAGTGTATCGACTGGTACATTGGTAACCTTGACGGGACAGTGGTGAACCCCGACCCCTTCGCCGGTATAGTTTTCGATGCTAGCACGATGTGTCCCTGTGATTTCATAACACGTGTCCTGGACTGGCGATTCTCAATCGTGCCAAGCTACACCCGAGATGGCATGTTCTGTGTGTCAGGGTATTTAGAAAGTATCTTCCCTGCCACAAGGGTAAGTAAAAATTAAAGTTGAAGCTGCCATAACTTTTCTTACGGTTACTTGGTGCTTCATTTCTCACAAATGAAGGGATTTAACAAACGACTGAGTTTGAATCATTATTCCCATTCATTGTTCAATTTATTCTTCATCTCATTTCGTTCTAATATTTTAAAACAGTTTGCCGAGTCCTTTTTTGATGGCTAATTACTTAGTATTCAGATGTTCTTTGCGGCGCCATTTTGTTCGTTGTCTTACTGAATAATGATAGTGAAATTTCATTTCGAAGAAAACATCGTCGTATCTTGAAACTCGTAAACTGAAAAATTGAAAATATTGTCAGATAAAGAATCGGGACACTTTTCTTTCTGAAGGTACATATTCATTTTTGTACTCATAGGAAAGTAATGAAAGAAGATAACAAAAAATGCAATAAATATGAACTAAATATGGACAGGTTTACATATACGTGTATTTTGACGTACATTCATATTCATTATCAATTGGTCATGTTTCCAGGAGTGTTGCTACACCAGCAGGTTCGGATTTTTAATCCCACACGAGTCTCGTTTCCTTGCGAGACATCCCTTACTCCTTGGCTTCGAGGCTCAAGATGACATTCCCAGGAGGAAGTGCTGTAAAGAATCTAACGCCTGTGGCTATTGGCAAAAACTCCGACCAACCACAACCAGCTGTCGTTCGATATCTCTCTTGATGATAGGTAAGACAGCACAATTATGAATCATTTATATGTTGATGGTCAGATGCTGCAGTGGATATCGTACCCTTTGGACAATTTAACGGCACATCTATTCCGCCGTATTTAGTTGAAAACGTATTCACTTTGAGGGATTCGAAGAGCATTTTTAATTGAAATATGTTCATTGTTTTAGAACAACTTTTTAAGCATTGAGCTGCCTTTAGTTAACATTTATAGGCAATATGAATGCCAACTGGACAAAGGAAAGTTCCATGAAGCGCGCTAAAAATCGTTTCGAAATTAAACCACCTGTTTGGAGATAAACAGTACATTATTAATGTATGTGGTCACAAGTCTGAAATAGTTGTGCGCCTAACATTATATTGATTCAGAGCTTTCCGTTCAAAGGGAAAGAACTGTGTAATACCTTGTACATTTACGTGCAATCCGTGTTGTTCCTTACGAGAGATGTAATGCATAAGACACAGGAATAACGGTACATATGCTGGTTTAAGTAAAACAAGGGATGCTTACGGTTGAAGAATTTTGGTTGTTGCCATTTTGAGATATATAATAATGTAATTCACAACAGTTGTAAGGCTTTCGTTCGCGTCTTAAACCAAATTCGTATTTTATAGGAATTGTGTTGATATCGAATCCAAAAAACACTCCCAGTATTCAGTCTGCATTGTATCAACCAAATGCCGCGCAGTCTCGAAACGATTGCAAGCGGCTCTGCTGATACATTGTATAAAAATATAAAAGGCTCTCTGCCAATCAAAATATGTTTATTTTTAATTTTTATATAAGAAACACCAATATACTGTGCAGTGGCACCATGGGCCTGTTCGACCTTTTGGAACAACGGGGTTTTCTGCTTTTAAAATTAAATATTTTCGGGTGTAAATCTTGGCGGACCTGCACATGATTATACAGGCCATGCTGTTTGGATCGCGATAAATAAAAGCGGCCCAAGGCATGATTTTTCAATATGCAAAATCGTCCAAATTCGACGTAATAAGGGATAAACAGTTTGCTTTGTTTTTTCAAGCCTAAATTTCACAACATCTGTAATGAAATTGTGATACAAAAATTATGATGCAAAGAGTTATAATAATTATTGTTCATAAACATCGTTTGTATCGGAAAATCGCATTAGATCCTCTACCGGTATATACGACTCTTCTCATTGTTGAACTATGATGTTTATCCACAGCGTTCTTGTTTGGTGATCCTCATTTTACGACTCTGGACAATAAAGAATTTATCTTCAATGGTAAAGGAGAGTACATCATGACTAAAGTCGATACCCAGACGATCAGCATGGAGTTGCAGGCACGTACAGGACAGGCCACGAATGAGAATGGTACGGACGTGAACGCGACTATCTTCACGGCATTCGCTGGCAAATATGTCAATGGCAACGCCTCGTTCCAGGTGGAGCTATCTGATGATAAACAAAGTAAGTTCTCGCTATCATTGTCCATAATGTATCGTTCAAACTGCTCTGTATTTTATTTCAGTTGAAAGCGAGGTGCATTGCTACCTCGTATTTTCTAGCGATTATATAACACCACTATTTTAAGAACTGTGATGACTTACTGCAGTTTATCTCCCCGAATATCTTTATTTCAATTTTTCAGATGCAAACTTAAAACTGAGACAAAATACATACAGTTATAACGAAGTTTGACGTACACGCGTTACTCCCGATGTTGCAATTCGAATCTGCTCCTATACACACGCTGGACGTTAAACGCGTGTCACACATGTTCTAGACTTCAGTTCTAAACCTAACGGCTGATGAATTTAGAGCTCACTGCTTTCCAGGGCCGACCTGAAAAAAGTTTTAGTTTTAAAGGCAGATATGTGAATGGCTCTAGACCTCAGGGTTGGCCTGACAAAGACTCTAGATGTCACGGCTGACCTGACAAAGTCTCTTGATCTCACGGCTGACCTGACTAGACCTTGCGGCCGCCCTGACAAATACTCTTAGACGTCACGGCCGACCAGGACTATCACAGGCTCTATACCTCACGGCCGCCAAGACAAATGCTCTTAGACGTCACGGTCGACAAGGACTATCACATGCTCTAAGCCTCACGGTCGACAAGGACTGTCACATGCTCTAGATTCTCGGCCTACCGGGACTGTCGCAGGCTCTAGAATCTCGGCCGACCGGGACTGTCGCAGGCTCTATACCTCTTGGCCGACCGGGACTGTCACAGGCTCTAAGATCTCGGCCGACCAAGGGATCCTTCGGTACGAGTTGACGTAATACATACATTTAATGTAGCTCGGTTATACATTATTATCAAGTTTACAAGCTCACCGTTAAGAAAAACATTAAGAGGAAATTGTAATCAAATGATATATCTATGTTTTAGCTATGGCTATATATCTGAACGGAAGGGACTTCACTTTCGCCTTTTACAACGACACGAGTTTCAGTACCGTCGTAAACGAACAGCTCAATGCTGTGCGGCTCAATGATACTCTCTTCCTGGGTTTCATCAAGACAGGTAAGTACAATGAACCCGACTATTTATCCTCGAAATCCAAGGGGTTCGGCTACCGATACATACATCTTTCCTCCCCTGGAATACGTCATGAAAAAATGGAAGGATCTTTATACGAAACCTTGTGAATGATACAAGTAGCGTAGCGGTAAAATCGCCAAGCTTTCAAAATGGATGAAACACTTCTTTATTCTTCAAAAGAAAGTTAACCGAAGTGATTGGTCAGGTTTCTATACCTGAAAACCAGTCAAATATACAGCTTACCGCGAGTCGTCCATTTTGTCATGACATATTACAGGAGCGAAGAGAAGATTTGTATCGATACGAGATATTTGGCTTAGGCATTGCACAAAATTTACACCATACAGTCCGTGTATTACGAAGGGGTGGGGGTGATGATCTGCAATGTGTTTAGTTTACAATATTTTCATAATATTTAAGAATACGCATACACCTGGAACTGTTGGCTGTTTGGTTACTTTAATGAATATCTCCACTCGTATACTTTACGATGATCAAAGGCCTGCAGGAACCCTAGTCTGCGCCATTGTCTGGTCATTTAAAAACAAAGACTTTCTACCAATTACTCAAGACAGTGACTTGTATTTCATGACATATAAATGGGAAATTATAACAATACACACCGTTCATCTTGCAAACGTTTTTTTTTTTCAAAAGTGTTACGAAATTATCAATCTTATAAGCCAAAATACATTACCTTTATTGAAATAGTCTTTTAACGTCTACATAGGACAGTTGCAGATTACTCTTAACACATTAATGTATTTACTGTTTCCGTTAGGTATCTCAATTCGTATCCAAGTTGGTGCCCGGATGTTGGCTATATCGCCGTCCTTACCTGACAACCTAAGAGGTTCTGTGACCGGGTTACTTGGAAACTTCAACGGTAACCCCGACGACGACTTCGTCTTTCCAAACGGGACAGTTCTCCCCAACGTCAATATGACGGACAAGGAGATTTTCGACTACGCTCAAACATGTAAGTGTTTTGTCGTATAGTTACATAAGGGTTGTGAATTACTAATAACATATCTCAGTTTTAGAGCAAATGATTTACATAATTGGTTTTAATGAGTCGTTGTTTTAATCAGTTTTAAGAGCTATAACATTCTTTTCATAGTTTTCCATTTTGCAAAATGGTATCATGGTAGGTTGCACTGCTGTACTCCTTGCATACAGAATGATATCAATGCAGTTTCAGAGCGACGTTTATCAATTACTTGACCGGTACAAACAAGTCTGGTTTCCCCAATGCCCTATGGTGGGAACATGAAAGAAAGTCCTCTGTTCTGTCCCAATCGTTAATTGCCTCATGCATTTATGCGTATGGTCTCCTGTGTATGTCTGTACCTCGTAGTCTGTGTATCCTTTGTGATAATAGACATGGATGTCTGAGTTCAACTCGTTCTTAGTTAAAACAAATAACTAATTGTGTTCTCTTTTCACGCAATGAAGGGGCTGTGAATGAGACTGCATCCTGTTTCGACTATTTTGGAAAGACATTTTCTACGTTCAACGATCCGACATTCGTCCCAGCTTTCCTAACAGACTTCAATTCCAACCAGTTACAAGAGGCGCAAACGGTTTGTGGCAAACACCAAGGAGCATGTGTCTATGACTATCTGGTCACGAATGACGTAAAGGTGGCCATGGCAACGGATACAATCGAAACCCAGGCTGCCATAAGCCGAAATATCTTGGGTGAGTGTCATATGGCGTCATTGAAGCTATGATATACATGTACTTCGTTATGTTGCATGTGACATCAGCGAACATTGTGTCCCAATTGTCAGGTGCCTATGTATTATACCACCGGAGCTCATGGCAATGCTAAATACAAGTTTGTTTTACCTTACAGTAAATACAGCACCAGAAGTTAGTGGCACCACATTATTAAAAGCAGAAGTCGGCAAAGAATCAAGCTTCACATTGACAGCGACTGATGCGGATCAGGCCAACATTCCGTCTTATGTGTAAGTCGTTAGAGAGAAATCGAGTGCAATGCATTTTTCCCGACGTTGTTTCCGGTTTTCTAATTCGTTAGCAAGTTTTGGAAATCTTAACTCGTTATCATACTTTAATAAACCAACGGAACACCATATAAGTGTTATATAAACATTTAAATAACACTGTTTCAATGACTGACAGTGGTATCCTACAGGACACGTTGTACCTTTAGATATATGAACACCATGTCACATGACCAACAAGTACTTCCGTACATATCTTTTAACAATGATCAGATTGATGCATTGAGATACATTGTTTTTTCTTTGCTTACAGTATCATCAATCAACCTATCTCCAACTTTAGTCTTGACGAGAAGACCGGACTTGTTAGCTGGACCCCTTCAAATAATGACTTAGCAGCGATAAGGTATGAATTGTTGAAGTAACCTGATTGTACTCACTCTCATCAACGTCAAAAGCTCCAGAATAAAGCATTCAGTCAACATATGTTCCTTATCTCAAATATCTGTTCAAGTAGACATAAAATTCACATCGAGATTAACCACGCGCTGTCTAGAGTAATAGTTGTCCGAATCTTTTGTGACTTAATCCTTATAAACTCGATCATCTTAAAATTGATTGACCGTACTTTTGTTTTTCAGTTTGACCGCTGTAGATAACTACAATGTGTCTGCCCCTCCTCTCGTGGTACAGATCATCCTATGTTCTGGCTGTAGTGGGCGTGGCACATGTGATTACAACAATACAATCCCATCTACGGACGAGAACTTCAAGCACGCTGTCTGCGTGTGTGACATCGGCTATGAAGGTATTGAATTGCCGATGGTTCTTTAACCAATACAAGAGGTCACAGTGACTGTAACCCCAATCCCAATGCATTCAACGTGCTATGAATGCAATAGCACTTTGGTAGATTCATACAAAAGACAAATGGAATAGAAATAAGTATCATACTATGAACATTAGTTTTGTTTGTCATAATCTTTTAGCTGACATGAAATGCCAATCTAAACATTTAACAATTACATGCATTGTAATCGTTCTTTGTCTATCAAAATATCATAATTTAATATCTTTTATACGTACACGTATTGTATTAGGCACGGACTGTGATGTGGAGACGGACGGGTGTGTCGGTAGCCCTTGCTCTGTCAAAAGGAATTGTACAGACCTAACTCCGACCGAGGAGGTTATGTATGGAGCATCATTTATCTGTTCCGATTGCCCTGCTGGTTTTGAAGTGGTAGGAAGCATATGCAAAGGTAATGGACATCGCCGAAGTAGGATTGATCATTCAATGAATGTGTATGTTTTCTGGGGATTAACACCCTTGCAACAGTAAAGGTCATATAAGACGGGTGCCTAGAGGGACACATCCGAACTGGTATGGAAGGGGAAAACACAGTATATTAATCATAACAAATACAATGAGGCAGCAGATCAATTTCAATTTGGGGTTTTCTTCAAATTTTCCCCCTAAGAAGACTACACAGAACAAAACTATCGATTATCCATAGGCCCCATCTTAGTCACGTCTTACGTTAAGATGCATAGGAATACAACAGGCCTGTTATATGCGGCCATACAAATATGTATGTTTCAGGTAACGTGCCTGAAAAGAAAGGATAGGTCGGTCGGGATTTTTTTTTATTTATTTATTTATTTATTTTATGAGTGGCTAATTTAAGAAATTGCAAAAGTCACCAAAAATGTTTTTAGGTATTTGCAACAATAATATGGGATTTAAATCTTGCTTTGATGGAGCCGTATCTAGCACAGATATTCATTTCAGTAGTCTATGCTTGTTTTCATTTCATTGATGCTGAAATACCAAATTAGATATCAACAGAGTGTTGAAGAAGATTATCATATGCCTTATGCATGTTGCCAATCTATTGTCATATCTTCATCAATATCCAGATATTCATGGAACGAAATTCTTTGTTTTTCAGACGTTAACGAGTGCCTGAACAGCAGTATCAATACATGCAGCCAAAAATGTATAAACACGGAAGGAAGTTTCATGTGTAGCTGTCTCGAGGGCTTCCTAGACATCGAAGGCGTCTGTATGGGTACGTACATCATGTATTGTTTAGCGGGTGGAGGTTGTACATGACACTTATTGGGAAGCGTGACGGGACCATGTTCTCGTCCACATAACATTAAAAAAAAACCTGTACCCTATCATCCGGGCCAACAAGAGCGATTGATATAAACTGATAAAACGTTTCACAATTGCTATATATTTATAATCTAAAAATATATATATATTATTCTAATTTTGATACTTTTTATAATTATTCATGCTGTCACAATTTTCTAAAATTTGCTGTTCCGGGAATTAAGCAAATAATCACTCAAACAGAAACACGAGCGTTCATATGGCCACATATTTGATTATTTTTTTCCAATTTGAACGACTGAACAAATGGCCTCTGCGTTATTCAACAATTAGATAGACATTCGAACATTTTTTTTTTTTTTAAACCAATTACCGCCAAAACAATTACACGTGAAAATATTCCGTTGTTAATTTAGTTATTTATTTATTTTTGTTTATTTATTTTAAAATTACAAACTAAACTTCAGTTGTACGTACAGGTAGCTTGTTAGGCTTATGCGGCATTCACCATTCTGGCCTGTTTGTCATTTCAATACATAATCGAGGTTTCATTTCAACTATCTCTATCAATGCGTGTTTGTACTGCAGATATTGACGAATGCGTCGAGGACACGGACGGGTGCGTACAGGAATGTGTAAACAACGACGGCAGTTTCACTTGTACCTGTTTCTTCGGCTATCTTATACAATCGGACGGCAAGACCTGTGTCAAAGGTAGATATCTATAGTAAACAATTCACTGTAAATAACACTACACATCATTAAGCGTTGAACTGCTTCAAATTGGCATTTATAGCCGAAATAATAACCAAATGTCAAGTGAAAAAATATATTGGTATCTAACAAAATGGTTCTTTTGAGATGTTGAACCCATCTTCCATACCCACATGAAATACCTATTTGATAGGATTAGGCTACATTCTGAGCTGGATACTATGCTTTTTCCTTATTCATTTGTTTGATCAGTCCATTCGTTTGCGTATCACTGACAAAAACTGTAACTACGCACTCGCCTCTACATTTGTATCTTAGCTTTTCTAAATCAATATTTGAAAAGAAAACAATTCATTAATTTCTAGTCTAGACTGGGACTCGAACCAAGGACATGAGATTATTATACCGGCGCTCTAACCACCTGAACTTAATAGTCAACGGAAGTATATTGTGATATATATATATAGATATATATATATAACGAGTTACTGATGTGCGAACACTATACTTCTGTGGGACAGGGATACTTAAATATAATGTACTTTTATTCCATTGTATTATTTGCCCATTATGTAACCCTCCATGCATTTCTACTTCACAGATGTTGATGTTTGCGAAACGCTCAACTGTTCGTATGCCTGCTCCAATAATACTGATAACGGAAATTTCGAATGCGCATGTCCAGGAGGTTACGAGGTTGATGCATCTGGGGGAAACTGTGTTGGTAAGAACCTGTTGGATACCAAGTTACTCTTTGTATGAACACGTTTTAGCTGGTAATATTTTCCAAAATCGCTATTCGCAAGTGACAGTTTGGCATTAGTAACGATACTGTTAAAATGGAAATTCTCGCGTAATGTTCGCTTCGTGGAAATGTTTGCGTTATTACTTTTCAAACTTATTGCGATTTGGAAATGTTCGCGTTGGCAATGGTTCGATGATATAGTCTATATATCATATCCATTATCTATATAATATATCAATAAATATTTACGAGTGGATATTTTCCCGCTTTTGTTTTCCTGCTATTTACCAAACACGAATAAAGCGAAGATTTACAGATCGCGAAAAATTCCTCTGTTACAGTATGTGCTCAATATGGCAGAACCCTCATTAACAAATTGGTTAACAGCCATAATTCTATACAAACATTTATAATGTGTGCGTCGCGTCGGTGATTGTACACGAGAACTCCTATTTAACGTTAACAGCTCTATATTTCCCCTTTATTCTCTCTCATTTTTCTCTGGAGTTACCCAGGGCACCCATGACTAGCCTTTTGTCAGAATAGGGGCGCCTGCTGAATAATAATATATTGTCGCAGATGTGACAGCGTCATTGTGGAAGTTCTTTAAATTGGCATCTGAGTAGTAACATATCGTGGTAACATCGTCATGCGACCTTTAATTTTGCAAAGATGCGATTTCGTAATCAATCACTTTTTCACCCCCATTAGTTATTATAATCTTTTCTCATTTATTTTGCGATAAAAAGGCAATCCCAAGAACAGGCTACTGTTTTTTTTTACCTCAGTCAAAATATTTTGAAAAAAAAGACCACTTAAAAGTTTTCTTTTTCAACTAAGCAAACCAACCTGCTTGTAAGAAATTAATTATGAAATCTATCCATCAATGTAAATGACCTTTTGAACATTTCAAATTAACGCCTTTGAAAAAAAAAAAAGTACTATCATGAATATGTAGACAAATGCAATGAGAAGATCAAAGACAGGGACCAAAGCCGATCTTTGAAATAAGCCCTGAGAGGGTTATGGATTATATTTTATATTTAAAGATTTTATTGCTGGACATTTCTTTTATTCAGACATCAACGAATGTGAGAGGAACATTTGTCAACAGGAGTGTACGAACACCGTTGGGAGTTACGAGTGTTCGTGCTTGGCAGGATATTACCTGGACCAGGATAAAACGTCTTGTAAAGGTAAGACACTGGTAATGATGGATGGAAATAGAAAATATTGAAAAGAAATATTTCTGTCACATCAATATAATTTTCTCTGTAGTTTAAATGACCGTATTTGTCTTTTTAATTCAGCATGTGAATACCCCTACTGGGGCCCTAATTGTGCCAATACCTGCACATGTGGAGAGGGGGCGTCAGAATGCAATGTCGCTTTAGGATGCCTGTGTAAGTCGGGATGGACCGGAAGTGAGTGCAAAGCAGATATCAATGAGTGTGAAATCAACCCTCTCATCTGCGGGGCGGACAAACGCTGCGAGAACATCAACGGGTTCTACAGGTGTAATTGTTTCCCCGGATATGAGAGCATCAACAACACCTGTGTCAGTAAGTAAATCAACAGTTATTGTAGATAACGCACTGTTATGTTTCTTAATAGTATCTTATTTGTTGTCATGGAAGTCAAGTATTTATCTAGTTGTGGTCTTCAAGTGGATCAATTCCCCGATCGGACGCGAAAAGGTATGGGGTCACCTGCCCGAACTTCTGGGTTCTTCTCCGGTTTCCTCCCACAATAAGAAGCCCACACGCTAACATCCGGGCCAACAAGAGTGATTAATATAAGCTGTAAAAACTTGTCTAGTAATTGTTGTAAAATATGTTTTTAAAAGTTTGTATTTATTTATTCTGCTAACCGCTATTATAAGCTAAATACGATTTTGATAGATACAGTTATATTGGTTATATTGGTGGATAACAAGTCTCTAGTTTTTTGCAACACGAGCGATTTCTAAAGAAAAGGCAAAAGGTCAGGTCAGCGGGACAACATAAAAATACTTCTAACAATCACCGTATGATAGTTAGTCTCTATACCAACAAGAATTTTGCATCTCTTATATTAGTAACAAAGAAACATTGCACGTTTAAACTGTTACCTAGGTATTGTGTAATGTGTCGTATTCTATTTACAGATATAAATGAATGTTTGTTGGCGACACTGCCATGTACAAATAACGCTGAGTGTGAGGATAACGATGGGGGATTTACGTGTCAGTGTCCTACAGGCTACATACAGGATGGACCCTTCACGTGCGCTAGTAAGTAATGTACATGCGATATACACGCGTCAGTGTTCCACTGGTTGCATAAAGGATGGACTCTTCACGTGCGCTAGTAAATAATGTACATGTAATATACACGTGTCAATTTTCAACTGGCTACATACAGAATGGACCCTTCACGTGCGCTAGTAAGTAATGTACATGTGATATACACGTGTCAATGTTCAACTGGCTACATACAGAATAGACCCTTCACGTGCGCTAGTAAGTAATGTACATGTGATAGATACATGTGATATACACGTGTCAGTGTCCTAAAGGCTACATACAATATGGACCTTTCACGTGCGCTAGTAAGTAATGTACATGTGATATACACGTGTCAGTGTTCCACTGGCTACATACATGGTGTACCCTACACGTGCACAAATAAGTAATGTACATATGATATTCACATGTCAGTGTTTCACTGGCTACATACATGGTGTACCCTACACGTGCACAAATAAGTAATGTACATGTGATATACACGTGTCAGTGTTCCACTGGCTACATACATGGTGTACCCTACGCGTGCACAAATAAGTAATGTACATATGATATTCACATGTCAGTGTTTTACTGGCTACATACATGGTGTACCCTACACGTGCACAAATAAGTAATGTACATGTGATATACACGTGTCAGTGTTCCACTGGCTACATACAGGATGTACGATTCACGTGCACAAGTAAATGAAATATATGTCATAGAGCTGTAATTGTCCTACAGGCTATATACTAAATGAGCTCAACACTTGTGCAATTAAGAAAACCACATATAGCAAAAACGTAGCGACTGTAAGTAGTATGCATTTGGCATACACGTGTCAGTGTTATACAGGATACATGATATGGGACCAACACGCTTCCAAGTAAGTAATGCACGTGTTTGATCCATGTGCCAGTGTCCTTCAGGATCAATCAAGTATTGGCCAAACACGTGAATACAATAACACATCGATTGATCACAATAATCCATCTCCTTAGAAAAAGCATCGATGGCAAGATGAAAATATGATTGTATGTGTCAAATATGTTTGGCATGACATGTTTCAATTGATTCATTTAATAGTAAGATAAATGGCGTGAACATTCTATCATTGATATTTGCATTAGAGTCTATAAGATAAGTTGAGTTATTGAATTTATTACATTTTTATTTATAAGTTTAACAAGCAATTATTTGATACACATTTTTGCTTAGCGAATGGCAATGCTGTCACATTTGTCATAAAATTGGCTGCAATGGTCACCTGTTGTCAGTATTACATGGTTTATCAGGGTTTTGTTTTCCCAAAGTGAAATATCTGCAGATATCATTCCATGAAAAAATGTCAATGTTTACAAATAAAAATTACCAAGAGGCACTATAGTTAACCGGAACATTTTTTAGGTAGAGATTACAATTGAATGATCACTTGCTGGTTTAGTTGTGTGGGTCCTTTATTACCATTGTTATATTAAATGGGCAATTTTATATCCTACACGCTTTTATTTGTCATCCAGACGTTGACGAATGTGTAAAAGGCACACACAGCTGTAGCCAGATCTGTGTGGATGTAGACGGGAGCTATAACTGCTTCTGTGAGGATGGCTTCCAGCTAGCGTCTGATAGGAAGACATGTGTCAAAGGTAAACATCTTTATAATATTAAGTGAATACTGTTTAAGCCATTCCCCGATGATATTGATATCCTTTCTCACGAGAAACAAAATATGTCCCGTATAATCCGATTTCCTGTTTAATCTGACCAAAAGTTTTCATGAAATGTGTCATGTTTAGGAAGAATATATATCATTAATAAAAAATGCGTTAAGTAGGAATGGATATGATACCTTCTGAAATAAAACCCATATAAATTTCATTCCAGTTATGATAAATCGTCCTTTTTTCATCATATTGATAAATTGCAGGAAAGTATACATCTTAGTTATATGTTTTTAATCGTTAATTAATTCTATAAACTGCATCAAATCACAATTATCACAACTTTTCAACTACGTACTTTGCAGTGTCCGACCCGTGTGTCGTATTCACTGGACTTTCCTGTAGCTACGCCTGTCGTGTGAGCGGGGGAAACCCACAGTGTTATTGTCCAAGCGGCTACCAACTGACCGCTGATCAGCAGACATGTGAAGGTATGGGGGTTGATTTACCTGTAATACCTCATAAGGTTGAGGCAATACCTTTAGTAAGAAAAATGTCACGATTTATTATATAAAAATAAATGTTTATTTAAAGTAATAAACAGCCGGCTTCGACTTACTGATCCATAAAACCAGTACGATACACAACAGTGAAAAACATTTATTTAAATAAAATAAAGCATACGATGTTCATGGTGATCATCATGGTCAACAATCAAGGGAAGAACAACAAAAAGTGAGAAAATACAATCAAATAATAATATAATAATATACAACATTTGATATAGCGCCCTATCTAGCTAACATAAGCCAATACAATTAGGATATACAATTTTTGAGGAATTCGCAGAAAGCTGCCTTATCAGGCGCTAACTACTAGTCATGTGCCACCTGGCTAATATCTCCCTATGTGTGTATGCCTGTGTGTGTGTGGTGGAGTTGTATATTCTAGATCTGTTACTCTCATATTGTATTGCTGTAAATAATACACTATATTTGATTGATTCAATTCGAAAACAAAACCTTTCTGTGAGGTAACAAGTAATTATGTTATTTGTAAGTGTTGATAAGTTGATTTTATGCATACACATGTACTGACACAAACAAGCATACGTCACATGCATTGCAGTGGCATAGATAATCACGTTGCCAACACTTACTGATGTAAAGAAATAGAACTGTCGGATGATTGTTTCATAGTCTAACATTCACCATACCTTTCTATAGTAATTCTGTACTCGTCGCATTAACGATCAGTTTTAACAGGTAAGCGAAATTATGACGTAGGTTCGATATGCAACAGAAAATTATATACTGTAATCAGTGCAATCATAATTTAGCGCAGTATTTCAAACACAAAAGAGCAAAATAAATGCTATCACTAAATATTACAAATTCTGGAATGCACCTATCATTTGTAAGATGCTGTGAATATGTTAATAGTAGGTATTTTAGTGTAGCTGTACAGAGGGTATCCAAAGCAAGATGACTGTTATTTATTCCAAATAGAATGAATTCATTTGAGGAATGCTCTTTTCACTGCAACTTGTGCATTATTCTTGGGGATAAACTTAAAGTAAGTAAGATACGTTATACACATATAATAAAAAGTATTTTTTTCTTTTAACCGAATGCATGCTATGACTTCACATGTGATGCAAGACGTGATGTCATGATTATTGTGACATCATGATACGTCATATTATAGAACTATGGAACATGTATTAGATCATTCTTATATTTAATATACAGATGTGAATGAGTGTACCGCAGAAACGGACTTGTGTACCCAAGACTGCTCCAACAACTTCGGAGGATACACGTGCTCATGCGCGGTCGGATACCGCCTCGAAAATGATGGTCGCACATGTGCAGGTAAATTAGTTAACCTTTCTGGACTGTGTTTTGTAGAAGAAATATATTTGTTGATTTTTGATACTTTATCAAAAAGAAAGCAATCCATTTAAGTACTGTTTATTTAAAATACCTTAATGGTAAAATAAAGTGTAGAAAAAGAAATACTGGTGGCTTGTTATTGAATTCTATAGAAAGAGTCCTCTGTTATAGCTTGTGATGCTGACCATTGGGGACAAGGATGTGGCAATTTATGTAACTGTGGGTCTGTCGGCACCGATCGCTGTGATAATGTGATTGGTTGTGTGTGTAAGGACGGTTGGACAGGACCTCAGTGTACGGACGACGTCAATGAGTGTTCGATTCAAGATCTGTGTCAAGGGATCAACGAAGAATGTCTCAACACGCCAGGGACATACGAGTGCCGTTGTGCCACCGGATACGCAAATACAACGGGCACTTGTCAAGGTAGGTTACTCTAGGAAGTCCCAACAAAATTGTCGAATGACTGCAAGGCTATCACATAATTAAGTGAATACATTGATATAGTGCATTGATGTATCATAGTCGAGGTTACGGGGTTAATAAGGAAATAAATTATTTTGCCAGATGAAATCACTGATTATTACACTAGTCTATCAATTGCAATGCAATGAAAATGAGTATAGTTTGTGCCTTTTGTTGATGTGATATTCATCGTGAAACTCATTCCTAAGTTTGAATGTAAACCTTACATTGAATTCAATTTAAACGGAAATTAATATATATTCAATGTAATGTATTTGAAAATGATATTGAAAATAATTCTTTCATATTTTTTTGAAATTGTGGCAAAACTATCGCAGTATGTAAGTGCAAGATTATTGTATCTATAAAACAACCATTGAGTATTTTAGAACAGTAAATAGGTGTTTAAAATAATGAAGAATTAAAGAAAGAAATTACATAAAATACTTTTGTATTTTCCAGATATCAACGAGTGTAACACGACTAATATCTGTACCCAGGACTGTACTAATACGGTGGGAAGCTACACCTGTTCTTGCTATAGTGGGTTCGAGGGTTCAGACACATGTACAGGTATGTTAAACACCATATCTCATTAACTGTCTCAACATGTATTGACTACTTGTGTTTAATACAGCTCATGATAAACCCAATATATTCCAAAAGAGGAAAAATTTATGGCGTCCTTCTTTTGACGTGTGTTTACAGTAATTCATCTATGTAAGTTGGTAAAGGATGCTGATGTACTTAATCGCATCATGGTTAATTGATGTAGCCATGTTTTCTGATGTTTTTGGTATTGATCTAAAAATTAAAAATTCTTTATGTTTTTTTGGCTGGACATTCAAGCAGAGTTTTGGGATATACCCGAAACTGTTGCTACATTAACAATTCCATTACGTGTAAAATGGACATGAAGAATATTTGGGATTGATCCTTTAAAATGGTTGTACTGAAATGACATTGCAATCACCAGAAATCTTTTCGTGATCAATTCCGAAAATTTGTATTACCAGAAAACTTTTCGGAATCAGTCCCAAAATCTGCATTTACTTAATAATGCAGTAAATCAACTAGTCTTACCACTTTATAATAATGTGTTATATATACAGGTCTGCACATATTCACTCGGCTAATTATTTCTATCTCTAACTAAACCATCCTGTGAAAGGAAACTCTAATTACATGATACTTTCATAGATATTGAAACAGAAAAAAGCGATAAGCATCTTAAGGCATCCAAAATGACTCGCACCAAACAGTCCCATTTGCACATTCACTTTCTTTAAAGCTGAAATTGAAATCGACTGCATGTGACATTACACGGATTTAATTTTAAATGAAAACTGGATAGCAATTGATCCCCGTACCTAGTTATAGCATAATAAACTAGTCTTCTGCTACAAATTTGTGAAACGTCGATGTTAACGTAATATATGTTTGCATAAATCTCAACTCGTGATGATTTGCAGTGAGTTTCCATATTTTGGTGTGGGTATAAATATAAATGCAGGCTAATGGACTATAACAATGAACCATACAAAATCTATCGATCTTTATGATTGAGCTTATTGACATTGTTTTATAACTTTTTTATCAACCACTGTGATTTACAGACATCGATGAGTGCAAACTTCATCAGCACGGATGTGACCATTTCTGTTTCAACTCGGTCGGCAGTTACAGGTGTGATTGTCGGGACGGATACGAACTCGAACTCATCAACCGTAAAAAATGCATAGGTAGGCGTTTCTTTGTTTTAATGCATTGCATATGTAAGATGGGTTTTATCAATGTATGCTTCAACTTTTCCGGTAGTTTTATGTCTTTTAAACATTTTAAACAAAACCTAAAATCAATTCAAAAGCACATTTGTGATCAAAATTAATTATTTCATTGGAATTGGGAATAACAGTACATTTACAAGTCGTCGATGCTCCGATTCAAGTTCACACATTCTAGCTAATTGCTGTAACTGCTGTCAGGGATAAATTATTTTATCATTTGATTGTGAAGGATATCCATTATTTTTAGCTGTAAACAGTTCATAGGAAACTTCCATATTAAAGTTTACTACAATTGTATTATTTAAAAAATCTGATTAATTAAAGTCTTTTATCTATTGTTTTGTTCATGATTTAATACATAAACACCTTCGCCAAACATCACTTAAAATGAAAAAAACAGTAAACACGTATTTCATTATTTTAGTGTGACATGACTGAAAGTTTATTCTTGGTCCCTTATTACTTATAGTGTATGTTACGTTAGCTAATCTATTGATTTGATAAAGATGGTATTGTATACATTTTAAAATAAAATGTTGCCATGTGATTTTAGAGAATCTGTTATGACATGAATTTCTTTCATATTGTTTTCTGTCTTTGTTGATTTTAGTGAAAACCTCGTGTAATAATGCGACCTGTAGTCAGGCATGCGCAGTAGACAGCAATGGGAAGGAATCTTGTGTATGTGAACCAGGATATTTACTGGCAGACGACAAAGTGACATGTAACAGTAAGTAAAAAGCTAACGGGCAACTTTCAAACCTCTCTATGTGGTTTATTGAGTATATAGAGCGGATGTAAGTGTTAGTGTGTCCAGTATTCCGTCTTTGCGTATTCCAGAGTTATCTTCTCTTGTGAGCAGGTATTGATTGTTACGTCATTGGTTTGTGTGAGAAAATTACGTCGTTTTCTCAAAAATTGATGACGTTACTCTCACAAACCAATGACGTAACAATCAATCCCTGCTCACAAGAGCAGATAACTCTGCAATACGAAAAGACGGTATTGCTTTGATAGGCATACAGGCTTACTCACAAGAGTAGGAAGCAGTTTGTTGTACTGTTGGAAGTATGATATGTTTGATACTAGAAGTGTTTTTTAATGTAATGCTAAAACTATGTCCGAATGTCATGAACAACGAGACATGCAACATGGCATGCATATATATAATAGCCCGTTTAAAACGGGATATTAGCACTTCCGTAAGTGCATAGGAATCAATACATTAATGAATACTTATGGATATGTTGAGTGGTTGAAATATTTACTTCGAAATGAAAAGAATATCTAGTAAATTAGAACTTTTCATTTTCTAGACATGCGATGTAGTAGGAAAACTTTGTCAATGACAATCAAATGTATGGTAGGGAGTAATGCAATGACATTCCGTTTACCTTACCAGACATAGATGAATGCGCCGATAATCCTTGTTCTCATAATTGTACCGATTTGACACCGGGATTCCAATGTTCCTGTCCCTCTGGATATCGTCTAGGGTCCAACGGCGCCACGTGCACAGGTAGGTTTGTTCCTGTGTTACTACAGCTACATCTTACCTGTAATTTCGATTGTTTGTTTCTACAATCACCTAAAACCTGTGGTACTGCTATTGACTACATGGCAGATTCAATGAGGAGCTTCTTCGAAAATAATCAGTTCGAAACATGTCATATATATTTTCAATATACAACTGCGTGGCTTTGATACATACCGATGCATACAGTTCTAAGCCGTTTACGAAATAGCAAGTGCTTTATTTGCTGTTGAAACTATATAATAATATTGACATACTTGATTCCTGGCTTTCGTGTTGTAAATGACATATGACAATGTTTGATACCTTCGATAATCAGATTATCTTATATTTATAAACTATACTTCATATTTTATTTACTGTACATTAATATACCTTTACAACAGTATTCTTTTCATAAAATGCCTACTTTTATTTTATTTCCACCTTTGTAAGCATCTTGTCGAAATGTGAATGAAAATTGGTTTATGTAATGTTGATTTCCAGAATGTGACCTTGGGCTTTATGGAATGAATTGTAGCCAGGTTTGTGCATGCGACATCCAAAATACGGTGTCGTGTGACAAAATGAACGGAGAATGCACGTGTAAGAGTGGATGGAATGGAACTATCTGCGCGGACAATATTGACGAGTGTAGTCTCGGTCTCAGCAACTGTCCCTCTCTGACGAACTGCCAGGACACTGATGGCTCCTTTGTGTGTAATTGTATCAGAGGACACACTATATCTAACAGCGGAGTGTGTGTGGGTAAGTTATGTGTTCGTTTGTTCATTATATACGTAGTGTTTGCTGTCCATTATATAGTATCAATGCTTGTTTGATGTTTGCAGCTCGATCCTTGTAAATTGGATGTAAAAATGCAATAAAGTTGATTGATTGATTGATTGATTATAATACATATGCATAATTCATTTACATTTATTCTTAATATTGCAATCTAGAGAAAACCTTATTTAAGAGAGAAAACTTTTTTGTTATATTCAAAGAGTCCTTGCTTGTCAAGCTACCCCTTTTAAGTTTCTGTGTTTAACAAATCCTACTCTAAAAATGACATAGTTTTTTGTTATCTCTCCAGTTAAAATATTTAATGTTAATGTCAGAAATTCTGAGATAAAGTTGTGTTCTTCATATTTTAGAATGTCCAAATGGGCGATACGGTAGCCATTGTGACAGCATATGCACGTGTAACTTTAACCACACGGACACGTGTGAAAAGGTCAATGGCACGTGTCACTGTATGACCGGATGGACAGGTACTAACTGTAATACAAACATTAACGAATGTGACGTACCAACGATATGTGGACCGCACGCAAACTGCAGAGACACCGGCGGGTCTTACGAGTGTGACTGTGTCCAGGGATACGCTAAAGCCGACAATGGTTCCTGTATAGGTATGTTTCGTCCGACTTCTATATCTTATTAACAACAGTTTCAGCACTTTTTATCTTAATTTTAAAGTATTTCCATTGGTAACTGTTACATTATTTCCCTTCGGTAAAACTTATTAATCTTCCATGCAATTGTACTTATATGTTGATACGAGTTATTTGTCTCATTTACATTATTGAAGTGTTTTACGTTTAGTCTAATTTATTTTACTTACAATTTGTACCTATCACAATATTTCATTTTAAGGCGGATTAGACGATCTAAGAGTACCTGTATTTTGCCTGGTTTGTTTATATTACGGAGCATAGTATGCATAGACTTTCCTTTGTTACTTGTTAGCTCACCTGGTCCGAAAGACCAAGGTGAGCTTATGCCATACCGTGGCGTCCGTCGTCCGTCCGTCAACAATTGCTTTAAACGACTTCTTCTTCTTAACCACTGATTGGAATTTAACTAAATTTGACTGGAAGCATCCCTAGGTGGTTGTGATTCAAAATTGTAAAAACGGTTGGGCTGATTCCACGGTGCTGAGGGGTGGGGCCAGAAGGGGGCACTTCTGCTATATTTGTATAAACGACTTCTTCTGTAGAACTATGCACTGGGTATCATTCATAATTGATCAAAAGCATTCTTGGGAGGCAGGGATTCAAAATTGTACAAATGGTGGGACTGACCCCTCGGGCTAAGGAGTGGGGTCAAAAAAAGTTTATTACTTGGTTGAGATCTACACTGCATAACCATATATACAGTTGCTAAGTATAAAAGAAGAATGCACATTTGCTTCCAGGATGACCCTAGGGTCTAGCCCCACCCTTGGAGACATAGTCCCTGGGTCATAACTTTAAAACGGTTGAGATCCCCACTCCAAAATTACGTATACAAATGCTGGACATAAAGAGACAAATGAAGTCATGATATTAGAATAGACCCTGGGGTCTGACTGAACCCCGACGGACCTAGTTTCTTAGTCACAGCTTGGAAACAGTTGAGATCCCCACCCTATAACCATATTATATACAATTGCTGAGTATAAATAGAGGAATGGACATATGCTCCCAGGATGGCCTTGGGGTCTGCCCAACCCTTGGAGACTTACTCCCTGGGTCATAACTTCGAAATGGTTTAGATCCCAACCACAAGACTATATATACAATTGTTTGGCATAAAGAGACGAATGCAGTGATGATATTAGAATTGACTCCAGGGTCTGCCCCACCCTTGCAGACTTAACCCCTGGGTCATAACTTATAAACGGTTGAGATCCACCCCCCAAAACTATGAATACAAATGATGGGCAAAAAGAGACGAATGCAGTCATGATATTAGAATTGATCCTGGGGTCTGGTCACAACCCTAGGGACTTAGTTTATAAGTCACAGCTTGGAAACAGTTGCGATCCCCACCCCATAACCATACATAAAATTGCTGGGCATGAAAAATATAATACAGATATGCTACATATTCCCTTGGATCTCATTTGGAGAATATTTTGCCATAATTGCTTAGATATCCAGGTGAGCGATACAGGCCCTTTGGGCCACTTGTTTATAATCTATAATTGACGTATAATTTACGATTGTCTTATACTATTACTTCTGATAACCTAAGTACAAACTAGAATTCGCTTGAAAATGTTAAAACCTTTAAATAATCTGTCTGCAATTTGAATGTGGCTTTCTTTTAGACATTAATGAATGTCTTGTGGGTGCACACAACTGTAGCCAGTATGCTAATTGTACCAATACCGAAGCCTCTTTTACATGCGCGTGTAATCCTGGATTTGAGGGAGATGGGTATACCTGCACAGGTTTGTATTTTCACTTCGGGTTATACCCCTTTAAAAACAACTTGTTAAGTTTTTAACTATACTTCTTACCATAAAACCAACATTATTTGTTACTGATGATCATCATGTTGAATTAGGAAACATACTTGTTCTAAAGTTATGGTTCTTACTGGTGTTTTTGTATTGTGCGGTCTACTACAATTCTCCAGGACCTCCTCCAAATACCTGTTAATATATTTGACGATAATGCCTACAATGGCAACTCCATCCAAATTATTATATTAGAAAGTCTTGGAAATAAATGTTACTTTTTATAAAATACATCAAATTAGTGTAGATACCAGAACCTTTCTTTTGGCTGGAAGTTGAATTAGTATCTGATGATTGTTTTTTTTATTAAGCAACTGTTTGCGAAGTGGGCTACCACGATATAAATCGATTTGTGTTTACATCAAATAGATATTGATGAATGCGCCAATGGTACAGACATATGCCTGCCAATCGCCAACTGTACCAATACCATAGGATCGTTCTACTGTAAATGCGAAGAAGGCCTTCCAGGAGACGGAATCGTATCTTGCACAGGTAATATATCATAGCTTGTATACTGCAGGGACACTGCTGTTATTGATGTTGTTTGCATCACATTGATTACTGGTAGAGATAATATATGCGTCACAGGGTTTATGTACCTCATAATCGGAGGGTTAATGTACCACATGATTACTGCTGTAGATGTTGTAAGGGTCGTATAGCTAGTGTACCACGTGATTACTGCTGTAGATGTTGTAAGAGTCGTATGGCTAGTGTACCACGTGATTACTGCTGTAGATGGTGTAAGAGTGGTATAGCTAGTGTACCACGTGATTACTGCTGTATATGTTGTAAAAGTCGTATGGCTAGTGTACCGCGTGATTACTGATGTAGATGATGTAAGAGTCGTATGACTAATGTACCACGTGATTACTGCTGTAGATGGTGTAAGGGTCGTATAGCAAGTGTACCACGTGATTACTGACGTAGATGTTGTAAGGGTCGTATAGCTAGTGTACCCCGTGATTACTGCTGTATATGTTGTAAAAGTCGTATGGCTAGTGTACCACGTGATTACTGCTGTAGATGTTGTAAGAGTCGTATGACTAATGTACCACGTGATTACTGCTGTAGATGGTGTAAGGGTCATATAGCTATTGTACCACGTGATTACTGCTGTGTATATTGTAAAAGTCGTATGACTAGTGTACCACGTGATTACTGAAGTAGAGGGTGTAAGAGTCGTATGGCTAGTGTACCGCGTGATTACTGCTGTAGATGGTGTAAGGGTCATATAGCTATTGTACCACGTGATTACTGCTGTGTATATTGTAAAAGTCATATGACTAGTGTACCACGTGATTACTGAAGTAGATGGTGTAAGAGTCGTATGGCCAGTGTACCACGTGATTACTGATGTAGATGGGGTAAGAGTCGTATGGCTAGTGTACCACGTGATTACTGCTGTAGATGGTATAAGAGTCGTATAGCTAGTGTACCACGTGATTACTGTTGTAGATGGTGTAAGAGTCGTATGACTAGTGCACCACGTGATACTGCGGTAATTGTTGTACGTGTCGTAGGGATAATTGACCATGTGATCATTGCTGTAGATGTTATTTGCGTTAAAGTGCTAACCCATGACGTTGTTATAAACATCACAGTTTCATATTTAATCTTGAAATGTATATCAGTGATATGGTTACATCTACAACAACCATTTACAGACAAATATAAAGCAATATGGTAATGGATTAACGTTATTTTTTATCAGTTAGAATGTAAAAGCTTTCCTGAGTTTGGGCACCAGTTATTGACGTTTTCGAAGCTACCGTTTTTGTTGACCCACTTGGCCATAGGACAAGACCTGGTGGGCCCGTGCTATGGCGCTTCTCTTCTGCCCATCGACTATTCTTTAAAAAGACAGTTTTACCGAACGGCTTACAGCATTTAAATTAAATTTGGAGTGAAGCATTCTAGGGCACAGTGAATTCAGTTTTATGTAGATGAAAGTGTGTCTGGCATCCCTCTTTTGGAGAGTTCGATAGTAATTAATGGGAAGTAGGGGGGATACTCTTTAAAGGACTACTGTTGAAGATTGGTTGACAGATTATAGAAAACGTTTATACAACCTCGTACCTGTGAAGTAAACTTTTAAGGGTCCTGTGAACAGAAAGAAAGGTCTATAAATCTTGCATTCGGAAGTAAGAATTTCATTTGATTGTGTGTCATCTTTTTGCAGGATTCACTGGGCGGATGTTCCGTTTGATTGCATCTCTTGTGTTCAGTGTCACGGACCCGCAAGCTTTGCAGAACACATCTAGCCCATACCACCAGGAGCTCGTCTCAAACCTAACTGAAGGGGTAAGCTAACCTTGATATGGATTAATGTAAGGAAATCTACAACTATTATCTATAAATCATTAATACTGTCCAAAATGCATTGTTCATGCACTGAACAATTTGTTCGAATTATTGAGATTTTCGATGTTTTAAAGCAATCAATACGCTACGATATAACAATCATCAAGAGTTTCTCTTTACTATTATAAAGTCAAGCCTTAATATACATTTTATGAATCAACGCCGTCATGTTTTCATTCCAGTATGGTTACGTCAAATACTAATTAAAAATAGATTACCTAGTCAAAAGGTATCAATAGGCTTTTGTACATCGACTACCTAGCTGATGTTTTAAATAGTTGCTTCTTTGCTCCGTATTTCTAGTTATTATCGTTACACTATCATTTTGTATGAACTTACCATTATATATACTACTGTTATCTATTTCAGTTCACCGATCTTTATAACAGAACCATTGAATACTTTAATGGTGTAAGAATCACCGGATTAAGGTAAATACTAACAATATGTGTACCATTTACAATGAACTGACTGTCTGATCCCATAATATGTTTCCAAAACGAAAATATCGAAAACGATCTGTGTTTTTTTTTTATAACACATGTTGTGTATACTATTCTTTCCGTTGCGTCGACTGAAAGTTTAAACAAGTACTGAAATGGACTATTTACGGTAACCGTAACGTAAGGTTGTAACAGAGACAATAATCAGTATGTTATATTTCATATGTATGTTTACAGTTCCTCTGAATATAAAAAAAAACCTAAAAGCTAAATAAATGGACAAAAAACGGCCACATGTTTGAGGAAAAGGGTACAAACACTGTGATATTACCATAGTGACTATTGTAAAATATTTGTTATTATGGGTGTTTTTTTTCAAAGTATTCAATAAAATTCACATATCCCGATGCATTTGACCGAACTAGGTTCTTCGAAATTTAAATGTTTGAAAAATAAAATAAAATGATATACCCAGAAAACTGTAGGGATCTCTGGTCCTTTATGTGCAATTGCTACACTTTACCAATGATGCCATGGAGATAGTATACCCAGATTACATCAAAACAAGTATGCATTTTATGTTTTTAACTGGCAGATCTGCGCAACTGGATATCGTATTTGTCAAAACTTCCTTTAAACGACTGGGTGNAAACCCCCCCCCCCCCCCCCCTGCAATCGCAGGTGTGCTATTCGATTACCATTGTAATCCCCAGGTAGTGGCGACAACACTTGATCAAAGTCATCGAAGGTCAAGTGGATTCCTCCGGATTTGCATTAATTTGAAAAGGCCTACAAATAGACAATTACTATCATCCATGTGTCTTCCTAAGACCTGCCGTCACCTAATTGGATCTATAGCACGCTCAACAAAAAAAAACAGCCTTTACAATAATAACCCCGTTATTCTTAAATTAAAATTGTAGTTATTCAAATTGTGGCATGAATAGTACAAACGTGAAACGAAAACAAGCACTGTGTACCTATATAAATCATTCTCATCTTTCTAAATAAAATAGTGGCTTTTTAAATGAATACTATTTGATAATACTACAGGTATGTGTTAACCAATGATAAGAAATTGTAAGGGGCATTTAACAAAAATTTACATTGATATTCCATGAAATATTAAGTTATTATATCATTATGAAATTCTTTTGGGCTGTAAATTCAAATCAAACAGCATTTGTGATTAAGGAAATCAGGTATACCATTCTGATATTAATATAAATAATCTCTGTACGAGTGTGTTAAAAACCCGTCTTGTCATAATTATTTATTTATATTTTTGTTTCAGCTTCAATCAGTATGTGACATTCAATATTATTTCCCATTTGTCCCATTGCTTATTCTACTTAGAAAGATAGTTCGCATCTTTTCCCGTAGATATACACTTTGTAGAGTATTTTTTTGTAAATTGCCAAAGTTTCAGAGCTGATGTTTGCATAATAGTTTGCACACATCTCGCCTTGTTTTATGAGCAAGCACAGGCAAAACTTAGGATCGCTAATTTATTAGCATTATTAACACATCATATAAGCCACTAATGTTTTTGTTACCAGTCTCCTGCTTTCTTTATTTCAGCTTTAATCTGTATCTGACATTTACTATAATGTCCTTTTGCTCATTGCTTATTCCATTTAGAAAGATAGCTCACAATATTTCCTTAAGCAATGTACATTTTGAGTGCAGTGGTGTTTTTTTTATTGAAATTCCCTAATTATGTTCTTTAGAGCTGAACCTCATATATGGCTTTGCATGCATCTCGCCTTACAAGCATATATGGATTTAAAATTAGGATTACTTATTTATCAACATTGATTTTCTGTCTTAGAAAGGACTTATTATTTCCTAAAAGTGAAAATAGTCAATAACAAATTAACAGAAATTCCAAAGTTAAGAACATTTTTACCTATATAGATCACATTTCCATAATTCCCCAGATGTATGATTTTATTTTAAGTGTTACATTGAAAATCAGATCAGACTATCAACAAGGCTCATTTGAAATAGGATATCGAATCAGCATTTAGAATATGTAGAATGATTCTAAATTATCAATGGATTGATATAGTTTGTCTCCATAATTGTTTGCAGAATGCAAATATCTTATTCCACCTCCACTGCTGTATCTACCAGTACCCAATACTCCTGGCGTTCTGAAAGGGCTGGTAGAATTTCTCGAAATACTGCGGATTCACATGCAGGGACCATAAGTGTATCAATAAAATTGGAGAGATACAACAAAAGCGAGATTTTGAATAACGTTATCACTGCTTTTATTTAGTTTGTTTTTCTTTCGTTTTGTTTGTTTTGCTTTCGATTAGTCAGCATTTGACTATTTTTGCTACAGTACATTACATTTAATTCCTTCAACATGAAGTTTATAAGATGCGTTTGTTTGTAAGAATATTTGCATTTTTCTAAGTAAAGTATGATTTCTAAAATAATTCATTACTACTTTTTCAACATGAATTGTCTTTAGTCTTTTTTCTATACAATTGTACACATATTATAACCTCAAGTTTCTTATATTGTTATTGTATTTAAATCAAATTAGTATTTTGAGGAAACTTCCTTTGTACTGCCCAAATTTTCAACATTTTTTAACTTATTTCATTACATACTTAAATTAATCGATAACACTTCCTTTCAAAAGTGTATAATTTGACTCCCTCTTCAGGGTAATTCTTAATAGTATCCTTTTATTATTCGTTTTTTTCCAGATTTGGCATTGGATTATTTATTCTTCGTAAAAGTGCCAGAGTCGTGTTCTTTATTCAAATCAATGATTTGAGTTTTATCAATATCATAGTTTTATGCAGGTCTAGATGCAATCTTATGTTGAAGGCTCTAAACTTGCTTTTCTTCATTACACTATTTAAGAGAATTTGTCATGATATATTTTTTGGTGTTTTTGTTATTTTAAAGACTTAAGTGTTTGACATTCGTACAAGTTGAACTCATATCTGAATATATCTCACTGTATGTGTTTGGGTTTTAAGATATAAACATATGTTTATGTATTACCTGTGTTAAAGAAAGGATTTAGTTTAAGTCTGGTGTCCTATCCCTTTTTGTTTAATTCGAACATTTGAATTTGTGTTACAGAAACGGCTCACTTATAGTGGAACACGAGCTTTATGTAGAAAATAACACGGATGCTGTCAAGCTTCTGATCAAGGCAATTGAAAACATCATTTATGAACGCACACCTCTGAATGCGGGAGGTCAGGACGTCCCCGTTATCTTGTACGGCATCAAGGGCTTAAACGGAGAATTCCGTAAGTAATGACTAATAACTGCCCTTAACCCACAAACGACTTTTGATAGCTTGAACGAGCCCTAAGGGTGAAAAAGTAAAACAGAAATTCCAGATATTACACAAAAATGCTCATGGCTTCAGATATGGTTTCCCGAATAATATCTAGCATCCCGGAATTTGTTACTTTCCAAAAATAAAATATTACTAGGGAAGTTTATTTACTCAAACATTATACAGTAGTATGTGGATTTAGAGCGTTTAGCTTATCTATTCTTCATTATATATATTTACAAGTTCTCCACAAAACCGCAGACATTACCTGATGTCTATTCTGTCGTACAGATATATTCAACTACAGACTACAAAGAATTTAAATAATCAGGAATAGTTAACTATAACCAATAAAAAAGAAAATTGATAATAAATGTATCGTGAAAAGATTTAAACAAAAATGAAATAAAGGTTTATATCCTTTTTACAAATCATGGATTGTCAAAGCAATAAACTAATCATATATAAATGTGATGCTTGATAAAGAAAAAAACATTGTTTTTTGTGGTTTGTCCATTCATATTAACTATTTAATGATTCTTTAATATAAATAAGGCAATATTCGAAAAAATCACACCCGAATATGTTAGAACGTGTTACTAGTTTTTTTCTTATAGACGAAACTTAGCGGTAAAACTGTTATAGAATAATCTAATATCAACACATTTGAAACATAACACTACATCTACAATTGATTAAAAACAATAATCCGGTGATCACGTTTACAGGCAATTTCACGAGGGATACCTTCAGTGCCTGTGAAATACTTGAGGCTTTCCAGCCGTGTGGGAACGGAACGGTGTGTGCCTTCATCGATGGACTCTACTCCTGCCAGTAAGTGTTCACAAGACATCATAATGGCTTGTTAAGTAAATATCTCTAAAGTGGTTCTGATTCCGATATGACACAGAATAATCAGACATTCGTTGTTGTTCATTACTGTGCCATAAACATTCCCAGTGGGTTGTATTAGTGTTTATTTTTGTGGTATCGACGGGTTACACATCTTGTGACGAAATATATTTTTCACGCCTCACATTTGAAACTAAAATATTTTCAAATTCAAATGAATTAAAGATAGTTTTGTCATATTTCCAAGAATAGTTTTAAATATAAGCGATTATATTACTAATGTCTAAGTCGCCATCGTAATATCATATCTATTAAATTTAATAGGACGTCAAAATGCTAATACATAAAGTTTGTATCCTTCTATTGGAATCTTAATATAAACTATCACATGACGTACAACCTTAAAAATGATATTCCGTCTTTTCGTATTGAGTTATCTGCTCTTGTGAGCAGGTATTGATTGTTACGTCATTTGTTTGTGAGAGTAACGTCATCAATTTTTGAGAAAACGACGTAATTTTCTCACACAACCCAATGACGTAACAATCAATACCTGCTCATATGAGAAGATAACTCTGCAATACGCAAAGACGGAATAGATGTAATCACTTCATAACGCAGACATTATCTGTTCACCGATAAATATTGATAGATAGAACGCGTAAGATGCATGCTTATGATTAAATAATTGCATATAACATATTTTGTTTTGCTCTTTGTAGAACACCACAGCCAATAGGTAAGTAATAGACCATTAGCACGGAATCAATTGATATGAAGCACGAATTTCTCGCCTTATGACCTACAATCTTCTAACAAACGTTTAAAATTATAGCGTTAACATCCAGAAACAAATCAGGCTGTCTAGATAGTCAGAAGTTTGTTTGACAAATAGCAATGTACTGAACAGAACCCGTTCTTAATCCTTCCCATCGTAGGCATCTGTTGGTTAATATTGACTAAGATGTGCTTTAGTCAAACGGTCAGAGACAAGTTATGTTAATAAACCACTTTCATGTTCCTCCTTGTCTTGACTTCGTTGTGACTTGTATGAAAGACACCAATACCACCTGCGTTAAGAAACCACCTCTTGGACTTTTTTCTTCTCTTTGCTTTTTTTTCTTGCGGTCAAACAAAAGCTGACATCCATAATGGGTTTTTCGTGGTTTCCAGATAACTTCGGTATCATCATGGGCCTTGGTGTAGGTGTGACCTTGTTGGTACTCTGCACGTGCTGTTGCTGCTTGTGGCTCGTGTTTATGTGGCGTAGGAAAAGGAGGAGGCACCGACAGCTCGCGGAACTAACTAGGGATATGTCAAGGAGAGGCAGGTAGGGACAAAATTACGAGCTATTTCAGAAGTATACATTAACTGATTCTCACTGTATCTTTGGTTGGTCATCTATCAATAAAACATAGACAGCAATAGTATGCTATATCTTTCAGTTCTGCCGTTATTGTTGACTGGCTCTAATTTTTGAACTGCTTGGACATTTTTAACAAAAGTTTTATAAATGTTTATATTTATATTATTTCTAGTGCCAAATGACAATATCGATCATTTCAAACACAAATTTGACAATGATTTTGAAAATGCTTGAGCTGGTAATTTCTGTTGCTACATAAATTAAAAAAGAAAAAATGCAAACTAAAGGAGAATGCATTGTGAATTATAGTTTACTACAAACCCAATTAGATACCCATATTTAACAATGTTTTTCTTCTCCAGTGACTCAGATGAAGTGAGTTCCAAATTCTCCCGGCATTCTATCAAGCCAATGTTTGACTTTGCTCCTCATCGCGACCCATTTTACCTGGGACACGTGGAGGAAGACGCCCCAGGCTGGAGCACCAACAGTTCCTCGGGTCAAAGGGACGACGACTTTGATTCAGGTAAATTGACCACATCAAGGTTGGGTAAGCAATAAGGGACAATCAAGCATTCTGGGGGCATTTCAAGAGGAAGACCCATCCAGGGACAGTTGATTTATTTACAATGTCAGTTAACACAATGGAGACCTACTTAACTTACACTGCCATGGTGGCACTGAAGACATAACTAAAATGTCGGTTGATGTAGTACCAAAGGCACGATTTACCTTTATATTGGTATTTGAACGTGTATCATAGATAAGGTTAACACGTATACAATATTTTTTCAGTGGACGAAGCGGAGCCTACTCGGAATGACGCCCCGACCCGCCCCTACTCTAACTTCTCTTGGGATTTCATTTGGCCTTTTTCGCCGACGGAAGAGGTCAGTATACTATAAAAAGCAATATCCGTTTGATATCATTTTCATAGGGTTTCTTTTTTCTTATTTCTGTTATGTTTTTTTATTTTGATGGAAATTGAAAAACGCGTGTTCACCCAGTTTCTAGATACAATACCAGCGTTTGTGGCTATGTTACCCTGTCTAACAACAAAATGACATTTGGTGCTCATAAGTCAAGCAACATTGGACCTGAGACGCCAGGGTTCGGTAAAAATGATACAGGGATTTGAACAATGCCGGAACAGTTTGGACGTCATTGCTGATTATAATTATATGCTTTTCTTTACCTTTCAGTTCCGTATTCCAAGACCAACACAATTACGAAATCCAAATCCTATTTACGAGGTAAGCAAATACATGTTACTAATACATTTGTACTCCACGTCACCTGATGCGTATAAGGTATTGTTCAAAATTATAAAAAAAAACTGTTTATTTTATGCAGATATTCTCATTAGGATTTGTCACAGCTACATATAACTCAATGGTAAATTTATCCTAAAAGGTAAATACAATGTGGCTACAACTTGTGGTTAACCTTGTTTAAGTGCTAACTTAAATTGGAAGTAGGTGATTCGTTGTGTCGTAATATCTTGTTATTCAGTGTTCATTTGCTATAGTATAACTAAATGTAATTCATTTCATTTCTATTTCCAGGACAACAATCAATAATATGGAAGTTGACTTTAACTAGCAAGAGATGATTCAAAGTGCTGTAGCCAGACTGTTTTTTATCGATAAGACCTGATATCACACATACAAAATACAGCCACTGCTGATGTATGCATCATTATCAAAATGTTTAGATGTTACGAAATTATGTTAATCATAAATTTTATATACAAATTAAGAAGTTAGAAATTCAATTGAACTTTGTAATTTGTATTTTGCAATACAATGCATACAAAATGTTCTTGTCAAACGATTATGCGGATTGTTTACTCAATCAATATCCTGGTGATAATGGTTTCTTTAAGATATACCCCATTTGGTTATAGCCATTCGTTAATCCAGCAACCTCTGCTTAAACTCAAAGCCAGCTTAAACAAAAAGAAAATTGAACTTTCTTTTTATTGGTGAATCGTGGACAAATTTCGAAAAACAAACCACTAGTATTTAGAGATTGTATGATTAACGAAGCGGTATATCATATCATATTTATTTATATAATTAAGATCTCTGTAATATAGATATGTAAATATAATTAATTTTAATTAATGATGGGTTGTTTTTAACAGGTGAATGATATATAGCTAATTGCTCATAGTCACATTACATTCCATATTTATTTAAAATACCAGCTGATTAGAGCGTACAGGAAAAATCTAAAGCCGAACCTTATTATTACAAACGCGGATATATCAGACACCGCATCTTTCTCAATATCATTTCAAACTTGGATATCTCGAATATCTCATTAAATTTGAGGTAATTACAAATGTGAATATCCAGAATACCGCATTTAGTTCGGATTGTGCGGTTGAGTTAATAACATCGTTTGTATTTAGGCAAAACGAGGCCAAGTAATCCAAAGTCTGAACATTATTAATATGAGGATCATTTATCCAATATATTAACCTATTTAATCAAAATAATATAATTCAAAGCTTAACAACGTGTCAAGAAGTTTTAATTGAACATCGAAAGAATAATAAGTAACTTGAAACTGTTTGTAAATTTTCAGATATAGCTCAAAAAATATTTTTTATATTTTATATTTAAGTGCGTTACAGACTTATTAAGATAATAGGACTTTGCACAGCTGGGTCCTGATTATATAATACAGGTATCTAAGATTATTTTATAAAGTATGACAATAAACACAGTGCCAATAGTATCATAATCAATAAGCTGATACAATGAAGTCTTGTGGTTGTTTCTGATAGTTTTCCCCAGTCATGTCCATGCCTGCTTTGACATGCGTAAAATACCACCCACTTGCCCATATTGAAACGTCAAACTCTACTATGATTAATATGTTTAATAAACATGATTGTAAAAACATGAGATAGGTTTCTTCTTCATTTAGGCTTTTAGTCAAATATAGATATTCTGGTATGAATAAGTATATAATATAATTAAACAGAGTGTTTACAAATTGCTCAATTCATTTCCCAATTATAACCATGTTAACGCTTCATTTCGTGGCCACGTTAATGAATACCTGTAAGATTTGTCTCACAAATACTCAGGATGAATAGCAGTTGATACAATTCGGTTTCATTGTACATAACATACGCTCAAAATTGCCATAATCATTGGTTCCAAATTACAAATGGGTCCCCTCTTTTGTTTGTTATAAAATCGATATGAAGAGAAAACAAAACTATTTTATTTTTCTAATAGTTCATCAAACTACATTAGATCCTTATACAGCTATAATTGCTGTTTGTCTGTAATTGGTTACTAGAGTTTTATTAACAGATTATTCTAAAGGAACTTGAACAGGTTGTTCCAAATAACATGATTTTATAAAAGCGATTTGTTTTTTGAATTAAGCAAGTCTTTAACGTTTGATAACAGATTAAAAAATATATATATACAAAAAAAAACTACCATCAATTGTCCTTTTGGTCTAAATTCATGACGTCATTTTTATGACATACAATTATGAAATTATGTATGTTACAAACGTTAACGTAGTGTTAGTATAAATTATATAGTTGCCTAGTATGAATAATAACAATTACAATGATACATCAAACCATATACTGTCCACGAAAATGATGTCGGACAATATATGGTTTTATTATAATGACAATGTGCCAAGTAAATATCCTGTTAGCTTCTTATTATAAGCAACTTACTAGTACATCATTCTAGCATGATTGTAAAGCTTTTATTTTCCTGTTTAATCAGTTATCATTCAGCATTTTAAATTTCGTTCGTTTGCTGGGCAAATGAATTCAAATTCAATCATCAATAATCCCCATAAGTGTTTAATTATTATTATATGATGTTGTTTTATGTTATATGTTCAATAAATTGCTGGGTTATGCAAGATGTTATCGTGGTTCTGTTTTGAGGTTTTAATATTTGGATAAAAATCTGTTATATTTTATGTAGATTTAGGAATGGAAATATTATTATATTAACATGTTTATATTTTTTTCAATAAAAGATCTATATCTCGTTGTATGTGTTGTTTCGTAGTTATTAAACGTCTGTTTACAGATCTGATACTAATATGCACACACAACAATTATAACATGTTAATGACGGCAACAAATTATCAATTTCATTTTTTTTAAATGCAAATATACCATAACAACACCCTTGCACATCATTCCGTTGCATGGTGCAGAATTTAAAAAAGAAAGCATTTGGTATGAAACAGAATTTAAAACACAAAGAGAAGTACAAACAGAAAAAGGTATAAGCGCACGGTCAATAATGTCATCGTCAGCAAAACAACCGCTTTCATCCAATTATTTCGGAGCCATAAGATGACCTACAATAAAAACAAAGAATTAATGTATACATTCCATATGTATAATTTGGCAGCATCAGTAAATCGACGAAGTTTCCAGACGGTTAGAACCATTTCTGACTGACAATGCAAACAGATGCTGAAAGTATCGAAAGGATATTGCTGATGTTTCTTCAATTTATCATGCATAAACCGAATCTTTTTAATCAATCATTTATCTGTTAAACAATAGTTAAATTACCGTGTCAAAATACTAGCATGCAATGGTACTGTAAAGGGCTCAAATTTGTCAGGATCAAAACCTTTTAGTATTGAATTGTACGCAACACCGTTTATAGTCAGTAGTTTTAGCTTGCCATCTATCCTATCCGCAGGAGAATAGGTTGATCAAGTGCGAAAAAAAAAATCATAACAAGAATAATAATAATATATTGACCACTCTGCTTTTTTTATTTCAATTTTATCTAACTTTTTATATATTTATTTTATTACGGTTGTGGTGTAAAGTATAATACAGCAGAAGTCACATACAAAACATTGCCTCAATATAGAAACCATAAATAATATGTAAAAATTAAAAAATTAAGTAAAGTAAGAAATAAGAATAGGAATAGTGGTTGATACACTTTGTATACTTATAAAAGAATATTTAACAGGAAATGACTTACTGTGCTTTGCAAATAAAATGGTCTTGACTATGGCAGTTCCGATCGTTCCATTGGAAACCATGTGCCTTGTACAAGCAAAGGCAGTTCTCCATGCCGCCACTATTGTTTGGCTCCCCAACTTTCCAGTCAGTGAATGTAAAGGGATCGCCAGTAGGCGTCCATTCCCAGTGTCCTTCTACAGGTGCGTCCGTTCCGGACGTGAAATAGCAGATGTTCAAATCAGAATCGAAACGTGGAAATTGACTTTTTTATTGATATCATCAGTTGTATTCGTGAATTGATTTGGTACAACATGCAGTTTGTAACATGGGCTGGACTGTCAAAACATTGTATTTATGAGTTGGATAATCTTATAATTCCGTCACTTACCGGTGGTATGGCGCTTGCGCAGCTCCGCCTTCAGGAAATCGTTTTCGTTGACATCTGTTATGGACACCAACTGACTGTCGTATATTTCACAGTATGACTGCAGTAATAACGTTGTAAAAGAAAAACATTTGGTATCCCGAATAAAATCCAAGTATAGCGTATTAATGTTATTGATTGCATGCATTGACGATAACACGTGACAATTCTAATTGATATTGATATTATGATATTATACTGACAGTGTGAGAACAAAAACAAAAACCTAAAACATGCTTTATCGGACTATATTCTTCAATTGTTTGCACGTGTACCCAACTAAGTGTTTTTACAATAAACAGTATATAATACGTAGTAAGACATATCTTTATTTGAAAATATGCTCTTTCTACATATCTAATGCCAATCATGACCAATATTCCATTTTGTTTGACCATTGTTTGAAATATTGTTTTCCTATCGTTAAATTCATCATTATGTTATTTGATTCACTTACAAATGCCTCTACCCATGTTTCCGTATCTCTGGATAGGAAGTAGCATGAATTATTATGGTAAATCCATCCGTGATGGCACTGAGGCGGAGCTCCCAGCATCCCTACTAAGATATATATATAACTAGAGCTGATAACGTAATCTTTTTATAAATAACCCATTCTTTACGACAGTAAATCCCGAAACTCATTACCTCTGTAAACGAAACTTTTGGCAAAGCTAGCATTGAACTGAATAGGGCGAGCAAATGAGTTTTAACCGGTCTTAATTTTGTGTATCTGCAATATGAAGCATACCTTTAACCAGAAACCAGACAAAGAAGAAAAACTGTTCAAAAGATACCGAAGATTTTCGAACTTTTTACCCAGAAAACGATAAGCAAAATACATAGTTTAATCATTGTAAGATGGACGCAATACCTACATAGTTTAATCATTGTAAGATGAACGCAATACCTACCCATGTAATTTAACTTCAAAAAGCAGATAATAGATAGAAGATAACGTTTTTCCCATAGTGTTTCAAATTTCTTTGTTTTCTGGAAAACACTACATGTAGCCCTACTACTAAGTCATTGCCGATGGTTAAGTGAATCGTCTTCATCCTCCAGTATATATGATCCACAAAAACGTGTCACCAGTAACACTGATAAAAATGAAAACACAGCTGTGACAGGTAACAAAGTAAAGATATACATGGCAATGAAAAAAATCGTTAATTAATTATCAAACTCATTGTTTTATACCTGTTTATGGCATAAAGTTCTGATGTACATCAGACAGCTTAGAAGAAAGTCACCTCATGAACATCAGGAACTAAAACAACGACACGTAAAATATCTTGCCAACCGTTGCATTCATGTCCCCAAAGAATAATAGCTCTTTTGCAAAACCTTGAAAAAGACGCTTTCCACCGTACTATATAAAAATATCGACGATCGGGTGACAAGCGGCTAACGGTTATCTTCTTCTGTGTTTACATCAATATCCAATCAAAGCTAATGAACGTTCGATTACAGGCATTCAGCTTAGGTTGTAAAAATAACCAACTCCATTATTTCAGGTGATGCATACCTTGAATGAAAATGGTTATCACGATACCACTTAAAAAATACATCCTCAAAAAACCTTCGACTTCGTTCGGAAGGTCAATGTACACGTCTGGTGTATTTACCATATGCACAATCAGTGGCACAACTCTCGCACATACACACCTATAGATATGACAGCGTGACTTGATAAGGATTGAGTACTTAGAGACATGTGTAACAACGACTTAACCAAATTGTAATCGAGGAAAGAAAAATTCAGAAAATGTATCTCGAATCAAGAGTTTCAATCGAAGGAGTAAGTCGTCGGTAAATATACGGTGTAAACGTCATTTCATGGAATATGATATTACATTTTCCATGGTAATATAGAAGCCGCATTATAAATACATCATTCACACGTGGTCATACCTTAAAATGACAAGGAGTCTTCATATCTAAATGAGATAAAATATTCGTTAACACAGAAAACAGTAGATATATGTAACAACAGCCTTCCATCTAATGTTTATTCAATAAACATTGAAAGGATTCGGGTATACACTTGACAAATATTGGAAAAATCTACCTCGAATATATTTCAGGAGAAAAATATATGTTCGTAACTGTTTATCTCTGTTATATGTTGCGTTATGTAAATGTTCATGTTTCTGTCTAGAAAAACCGGCAACTCGCCCTGAAACTTTAACAAATTTCTTTGTCTGCACCGTCGTTATTACTTCTTTGTCCATATCTATTTAAGTAATACGCATCCTACCAACATTTGTTTGTTCGGATCCAGTGGCCATATTGGATCATACTGTCGTAACTACATATATTATAGTTTATTTTTCTTTGTCGACTTGTCAATTGTTTCCTACTAGGCTGAATTTATCGTTTCTCATTGCAGATAACAGAGACTTTTCCAAATACATCGATCATGTGTTTTCTTTAAATAGCAAGAAATTAATTGACCAGCATAGTGTAATATGTGCCCTCCTGAATTGAAATCAAGGACACTATAGACTCTTCTACATCACCCATATACCTCGATCTTTACTTATTCGTTTAACATTTATATATCATACTATTTGAAGGATTCGTTTTATTAACAAAGACATGTTTGAGGAAAACATTGAATGTGCATCTCGTCTTGGCAAAACGTTTTAAATAACAAAACTAAGACACATGCATAAGACTGCACCCGTAAAATTTGGTGAGAGATAAGACAATGCATAACACTGTACCATACAATCCAAATTGGTCTTTACTGTTTAACAGAGAGAGAGAGAGAGAGAGAGAGAGAGAGAGAGAGAGAGAGANAGAGAGAGAGAGAGGGGGGGGGGTAACTTAGTTGATGAAAATGAAAGCTTCTTTTTATTTTATTTTTCTAGTTTTAGCAAGATCTTGTTGATAACCATGATAATATTAAATATACAACAGTAGTTCTAGGTGACTAAATATATTGGAATATACCATACAAATTTTTATGTGAAACTGCCTTTGTAGTCGCAAATGATGCATTGGAAAGATTTTATACATGTGCAGCTGCATTCGAATTTGAGCTAAATCAGACATGGTGAGTGACCGTTAGCATCTATTTGGCGTACACCCATAAAATTATAAATCAATCAAAGGCAAGGGCAGTCATGTTTGTCGACCGGTCGAAAAATACATCGATTACCATTTAGCAAAAGAAAAGAAACCAGTGGGATATATGTGTCTGTAATTCCATATTTGTCCAAGTATCTACCCTCATAAGTTTTATTATCTTATTGTATTTATCCCATACAATAGGCTGAATGATTTCTTAGTTTTAAAATCGGTCACAGATAATTTAACATTGTTTCAAAAGATGTTGACATGTCCATGAGCCTTGAAATTGAATATATCCTGATGTTTAAATTAACAACACAACTTCAATATGGATCGATCAAAACATTGTATTGGCCATTAATTACTGCAAATCTCGGCGACTAATTGCAGCAACATCGTGATCACAATCCTCGTTCTCATTGTCCAGTTTCACAGCCCTGTCACCACATCCGTCTTCCGCCGGAACTATTTTACAATCAGCTGGCACGTGAACGACATTAAAACCATTGCTGTTAAGAAAACATATATTGAGCTTTGAAAATACTATGACATAAAACTATTTGAGTGACCGGAATAACATTGAAAATTACTAATGAAACTTGTTATTTAGTTACATGTACCTTTCGAATAATAAAATCAGGGGTGGGTGTTACGGGAACTTATTGGTAAACCCATTTGTGAAAAGGCACAACATCTGTTACTTACATTCTATACATAGGATCTATACTATTTCCCTCCAACATATACATTATAAATGTATACATGATACGTATGTTGCCGAAAAAGTGATAATCAATTTATAAATATTAGTATTATATCAATCAATATGTATTTAGAATGAGCATCAAATTGAAATATGCAATTGGAAAATAAACCGCCAAAATAGTCCTAAACAATATCATTTTTTTGGGGGGAAAACTAGATACTTGTCGGTCCAATGTTTAGTGATACAAAATAGTGTATATCATACTATAAATTCTGTCTTGTCTATGTGTCTGTTTTAAGACGGTGTAATGGGCGAACGATGTCGATTTGACCATTGTGTTGGACATTTAATCACTTACACGCAGCAACTCAAAGCACCTCCCTCGTTGCAGTAGCATGTTTCACAGTTTGGTGGCATGCGACATAAAGCTGATGAATGTTCCATTCCAGTTACATCCAAGAGGTGGTGTTGCACCTGGCGCTACTGAGTAAACATTAGAAATATATATTTACATACAAATAATAACAGAATAAACAGACCTTGTTTAAGAATAAGAGAATTAAAAAAAAAAAAAAATCAGTAAATAGGCACAATTTCTTAACTTTTTACCTCTTCATCACGTATAATTATTGATTTTATCAATTTCTGTTGAAAATCATTCATGATTTCTACGGATGTCATAATGATGATGTTTTATTCTTGTGTTATGTAACCACGAATTTCATCTCATCAAATAAAGTCTCCTGAAGAACTCCAGAGAGGCCCAGAGACTATGGCATTGTTTTTGCTATATATACCTGTATATACGAAATACAACACCTGACTTTTATAAAACATTAGCGTTGAGAAGCTAATTAGTACATCATTATAAAAGTGTCATTTCTTTTGATTTCTTAATTTATAGTACCTGTGATATTTGCTTATTTTTTAATGTTGAACTAATCTAAAGTTTAAGATGTCAGTTATATAAAAACACAGTATGGGACATTTGGACCCATTCAGCACGGTGAAGATAATAAGTGCAGAAGCCGTAGGGTGCATATTGTAACTATAATTGTTCAGTCATACGTTGTCCTATGTCGTCTGCTAGCTTTATGTTTGTTGTCCAGGATTATATAACAGTATACCACTTAAATCGCAGAACACTCGATAGAGCTGATAGTTATATTCAGAGTAGTTCTCTATTACTGTTCAAAACCTCTGAAATGACAAAGCATTTGTAAATACACACGAGGAACTGTTTTAACTATTACTTGCTTCAGTGATCAGGTGATATGTCTGTCACTAACTAGGTATAAAATATATGTGTGCAATACGTCCCAGGTCAGGCTTCATGTTACATTTGGTGTTTTTTTAAACTGACTGGATATATACTAGCGGAAAAAAGAAACTGTGCATGCGGAGAACTGTTATAGAACATGTATTATCAACTGTATATACATGAAAATTCACACACATGACCGAGTATGACACATACACACTATCCGTGTGTCATTGACAGTTTTTCCCGTGCATTTTGCCCTTTATAGGCGTCGACCAGTTTCCACGTTTTTCCCGTCCAGCCATCCAATTCGACAATGCAACTTTATTTTTCAACTGTTGAGTCACTCTGTTGAGACCAGTGAACAGTAAAAACAGCATTATAACGTTTTAATTTGTGATTAATGCTATGCCGAGGCTCAATGAAAATGACCGCCTCCGGATTATTGGTATGCATCAAGCTGGTATGGGCAAAGCCGTTGTCTCTACACGTTTTCATGTCCATCGAAACACAATCCGGGATTTGTGGAGACGACATCAACAGTTTGGCCAGGTCGGCAATCGACCCCGTGCGGGACGTCCACGTGTGACGTCATGTCAACAGGACAACCATTTTCGGCTTGTCCATTTGAGAAACGCTTCCAAACGGCAAGTTTGACTGCACGGACAATCCCTGGGTTGCTACATATCAGCCCGAGAACTGTATGGAACCGATTGCGTGAACGAGCTATCCGTCCGCGACGTCCTGCAATCCGCAGAGTTCTTCTGCCACGTCATCGTGTAGCACGCCTTTACTGGTGCAGAAGGCATCTGCGATTTGCTCGACGGGATTGGGCAGGCATTTGTTTTACGGACGAGACGCGAGTCAACCTGGATAGTAGTGACGGCCGTTCCAGAGTGTATCGTCGCGTTGGAGAACGTTTCCGTGACGCGTGTGTGGTACAACGACGTTTTTTCGGGGAGGCAGCGTTATGATTTGGGGCGGCATCACAGCCAACGGGAGAACGCCTCTGGTGGTCGTTAACGTGAATTTGAACGCGCTACGTTACCGTGACGAGATCCTCCGGACCCACGTCGTTTCATTCGTGCAAGGGCAGCAACGTCACATTACGCTACAGCAGGACAACGCCAGACCACACACAGCTCGTGTCGCTATGGACTTTCTGGCCCAGCAGAACGTTGACGTGTTGCCGTGGCCTGTTGTATCCCCCGATCTGTCGCCCATTGAACACGTCTGGGATAAAATGAAGCGCAGATTACGGGCATTACCGGTGATTACGGGCAACCGGTGACGTTGGCTGATTTTGCTGCAGCGTAGGTACAGATCTGAAATGCCATTCCACAAGCATTCTTGAACCGTCTGATAGGCGTCGACGTTGCCAGGCTGGCATTCAGGTAAACGGTGGACATACGAGGTATTAACTTTTGAACTCAGTATTGACCCCTGCTGTGTTTACGTCACTCCTGATCGGAACTTATTGATTCCAAAACGTGGAAAATGGAATGCAACTGTTAATAAATAACAAATAAATTGACCCTGAAAACCTTGTTGTTCTACGTCATACACATTTATTTTTTTAACACATTTTAGGCATGCACTGTTTCTTTTTTTTCTGCTAGTAAAGTAATAACATTGGTATGATACTTACAACGTCAGGCAACGTACGTTTTTACCAGACTAGATATAGGTATTTGTGTGCAATACTTACAGGGCCAGACAGTATGTGGGTTCGTCATTGACTAGATATATATATTTATATATGGTTAGAAAATAGGTATAACACTTATGTGGTTAGACAATACGTCTGTGGGTCTGTCACTGACTTGATATAGTTACGTAGGTATAACACTTATGTGGTTAGACAATACGTCTGTGGGTCTGTCACTGACTTGATATAGTAACGTACCTATAACACTTATGTGGTTAGTCAATACGTCTGTGGGTCTGTCAGTGACTAAATAAAGTTACGTACGTATAACCCTTATGTGGTAAGAAAATATGTCTGGAGTCCGTCACTGACTTGATATACTAAAGTCATTATATTAGTATGATACTAACATAGGTAGACAGTTTTCAGTGTATCTGTCTAAATATCTAGATTGATCACCTGTTACATACTAACCTGGAGTAGGACGCATCATTCTACATTGCCCATCACATACTGATGCTCCAACGACGATGAAAACGCATACGGTAAGAAAGCTGTTCATCTTCAAAACGTTGCTTGAAAATACACTATTGTATTAAACGATGTCTGAAATGTTAAGATAAGGACTAAACAGATCCTGATAATGAGTTCGACTAGTGTGTTAGCTATCTTATCTCAGTAGAACATCCGTGAAGGCCAGCGTGCAGAACGTCATAAACACTGACCTAACCAGTAAAGGATTATTTACTTGTTATAACCCTTCATGTTATAAGAACATAGAAGACCAATGTATGTTACTTAGGTAAAAATGCTGTATCACATTACTGAGTTATTTTACACATTACTGAACTGACTTATTTTACACATGACTGAGTTGTTTTACACAACCACTGAGTTATTTTACACAGCCACTAGCAGATTACTTCAAAATCAACCTGATTTCTGTTGGATATTGAAGAATGACTTGTACTTTAGTTTCATATAATTGAAATCAAATTTGCCATATGATATTGGGAATTGATATTCAATATAAAATATAATAAGGCACTTTACAACATTTCCATCTAGGAGGAGTCTGAAAAGGCTGATTGCTGAACGTTTTGCCAAATTGACCTCTTTAGATCCAACACATGGAAAGGGTCGGTAACCGCATAATTCGGTTTCTTTCCTTTTTTTGTCATGAAAGTTTCCTGTATGGTTTTATTGAATTAAATTCAGTGTGACAGTTGAAAAAACTCTGTCTCGTGTGACCTAAAACTGATATATATCATTGAGACGTCCTTACTATCCATTGCACAACTGAATATTCGGCTTTTTGTGACTTGATAACTGAAGTACATAAACATGTTGTTATTGGAGACATATAATATAAATCAAATATAGTCATAAAAGTAATGTTATTGATCGTGAAAACAAGAAAACACAAACAAAAAAAATGGTTATACGAGACAAGCAGACAATACAGAATCAAAAAGTAGGGATTTATGTTGCCATATATACTTCACTTTCGTTTACAGTAGGGATGTATGTTGCCATATATACTTCACTTTCATTTACAAAAGGGATGTATGTTGCCATATATACTTCACTTTCGTTTACAGTAGGGATGTATGTTGCCATATATAC